CATCCAGGCTGGGGTGCAGTGTCACACTCATATGGCCACCCCAGCATCGATCTGCTGGGCTCTGGTGATCCTTCCACCTCAGCCTTCCAAGTAGCCAGAACTACAGGTGCGCACTAGCACACCCAGCTAATTTTTTATTTATTGTAGAGGCGAGGTCTTGCCAAGTTACTGGGGCTGGCTGGTCTTGAACCCGCAGATTCAGGCAATCCACTCACCTCGGCCTCCCAAAGTACTGAGATTACAGACTGAGCCCAACCAAGAACCTGAATTTCCAGATCCTGAATATTTTTATTAACTTAAAGAGTTGAGGCCATATCAGCCTAAAGACCCTACAAATATTTAAATAATTTAGGCTTCTGAATACCTCTGGTTTTATATCTTATGCTAACTGTTAAAGTAGCCAACATTTTTCAGGGTAAAAAATACTTAACATAAAATGTATCATTTTAACCATTTTTAATTGTATAGTTCAGTGACATTATACGCATTTACATTGTTGTGCAACCATCACCACTGTCCTTCAGCACACTTTCATCATCCACTATTGAAACTCTGTACCCATTAAATAGTAACTCTCATTTCTCCCTGCCCCCAGTCCTTGGCAAACATTGTTTTACTTTCTGTCTCTATAAATTTAACTGTGCTTCATATTAGCAGAAGTGTACATACTCATCCTATTGTATCTAGCGTATTTCATTTAGCATAATGTTGTCAAGATTCATCCATGTTGTAGCTTGTATCAAAATTTCTTTCCTGTTTTTTGGAGTTGGGGGTCTTACTCTGTTGCCCAGGCTGGAGGGTAGTGGCATAATCATGGCTCACCATGACCTTGATCATGGCCTTGACCTTTTGGGCTCAGGCGATCCTTCTGCCTCAGCCTCCTGAGTAGCTGGGAGTACAGGTGCACACCACCACACCTGATTACTTTTTAAATTTTTTGTTAAGATAAGGTCTTGCTGTGTCCCCTGGCTGATCGCAAACTTCTGACCTCAAGCGATCCTCCTGTCTCAACCTCTGAAACTGCTGAGGTTACAGGTGTGAGCCAGTGCAACTGGTCATTTCCTTCCTTTTTAAGGCTGAATAATTCATTGCATGTGTATGCCACAATTCGTTTATTCATTGATTCATTGATAAACATTTGAGTTGTTTCTACATTTTGACTGTGAATGATGCTACTATGAACAACTGGAACTATTGAATCAAATGGTAATTCTATTTTTAGTTTTTTTAACTAACTTTATTTTGAGCTTAGTTAAAATCTTTGTGATCCTTAACTGTTGTGTCCTATTTCTTTTTTATATGTGCAGGGTATGGTAAAATGAATTCATAGCAACTCTTTCATTTGATTATATTCAGAAGTGAAAATGCTTGTGTTACTATCTAGAAGTATACTTTATGTACCCATAATTGTTAATTTAAAAAATATATCAGAGTAAGTTATAGAGCACATGTTTTGTCTCCTAGATGGGAATCAGTGTCAGCTCCTTGCCCCTCCTGCTATCCGCATTGCTTTAGGTATCTGGTAGCAATGTATAGAAAGAATCAGATAAAGTAATTTTAAATCCTGTTTATCGTTTGCATATGATTTAGTGGCTTTTCTTTAGCACTATCTCCAAGGGAGGAGGTAGCATCTGAGTTAACTAGTAACAAAGGGACGGGCGTTTGTCTCTGAAGTCTGTGTTCTTTCTGTTCTCTTACCTTTTGTTGTGAAAGAAGTCTTGCTAAAGAATATATTTTAATTATCTGTAATTTGGTTTTGTGAGGGAAGTCTCATTTTACCATAGATTGTGCAGAATTGGTTACAGATTCTAGAAGGTTGAAACTGACATTCTTGAGTTAAATTTCTAAGGGGGGAGGTCTTCATGTACAAAGCTAATATACAAGGAATTGAAAATTCCTACACGTAGCTGTAGCTTTCTTTAAAATATTTGAAAGTTTTCATATCTTGTAATTTAAAAATATATCTGCTATCTGTTGAAGCATAAAACCCTTGAAGTCTTTTTCTATAAAATCACAAACCCTAGTAGAAAGTAGTGTCTATTCATAGAGGAATAAAGAAAGCAGATAACTTGAAACAGAGTGTAGGTATTGAAAAGATAGAGGCCAATGTAGAATTCATATGAAAATACTCATTGCTCTGGACATGTCAGTGGTTATAGCTTAAGGTCATTGGATTGCAATTTACTTTGCAGGGGTTTTGCTTCTAAAAGACCAGTTAAGCAGACTGGGAAATAGCCAGCACTGGGTTAGTTGAATAGGAGTTAACTATTTAACTATCTCTGCTGCTTAGAAACCCACTGTGACCTGCCAGGCAAAACTGATTTCTTCTTTCTCCTTGTTCCCTTCCCTATCAGCTTGTGAGCTGCTTTAGGGCAGAGATGTTATATCTTACTCTATTTTTAGTACCTAGCATAATTGCTTACACTGGTAAGTAGATCCTTTTAAACATTGGCTGAGTTTCTTATTATTATGAGTCTTGGGCACCAATATAATAACATAGGAAGATGGAACTACTGTAGTTATCAGAGAGGATAATTTGAATCAGAGTTAGGATGTGACCAAGAACAGAAGAAACCACTGTAAGATAGAAACCAGAGAGAACATTTTTAAGTTTCATGTGATTCATCAAGCTATTTTCTTGATAATATCTCATTTCCTTGATATTGTGGTCCATGACTTGAAATTCATTTGTTTTTGTAGCAGACATTGATGCATGAAATTTGTGGGGTGAGAGAAGCATGCAATTTAATACAAGGTAATAATGTCACAATAGAGGCATGGGTATAGAGTGTTACTCTATGAAAGAGGGAATGGGGGAAATCTTCCTGGAAGGTAAAGTAGTAGCTGAATAAGAGAAAGGAAGCTGGTTGTGATGACTCATGCTTGTAATTTCAGCACTTTGGTAGGATGAGGCAGGAGGAAAGTTTGAGGCTGCAGTGAGCCATGATTCAGTGACTGCACTCCAGCCTGGGTGACAGAGCAAGACTCTGTCTCTTAAAAACAAAACAATAATGAAAAATGTAAAAAAGAGAAGAGGCCAGACATGGTGGCTCACATCTATAATTTCAACACTTTGGTAGGTAGAGGCAGGAGGATTGCTCAAGGCCAGGACATAGTGAGATTCAACTGCTTGAGAGGCTGAGGTGGGAAGATCACTTGAGCCTTGGAGTTCAATGCAGTGAGTCAATGGTCATGACATCACTGCCTTGTAGCCTGGGCAACAATAAACAAACAACAATTAAAATGAAAAAGAGAGAGAAGGGAGAGCATCTCCTGTTAAGCAAATATTTTGTGAAGAGCAGCTTAACAACACATTAGAGTCCAGGAGTGGAGAGAGATGGAATGCACCTAGTACTAGTGGAGCAAGGAGAATAGTCCTCCTTCCTTATCCCTGGGGTACATACTCTAGCTCTCCACTGGATGCCTGAAACCATGGATAGTACCAAGTGACCAACTGCTGTCAGTTGAACACATTTCTGTTCATGTCTTCTCCACTAACGTAATTCCTTGTTCATCTTAACTAAGCATTTATCATGTGCTGTGGCTGTAACAGCAAAGCCAGCACAGATTTCTTTTTCCTTCCTCACTATTTCATAGATAGAACATATGTTCTCACTGTAGATCTTAGCAACTTCAGTGTACGATCTTTTTTCTTTCCCTTTTAAGTTTAGAATTTGAACCTTTTCTCTTAAAGGAAATACTTTATTGCTTCTCTTTGGTATGTCTGAGTAGCTAGAATCACATTTGCTCTTCAGGGACATTATTTAATAAAATAAGGTTTACTTGAACACAAGCCCTGCAATTTGATAATTCCACAACTACTAAATGACTAACAAGAGGGTAGCATAGACAGTGTGGATACACTGGACAAAGGGATGAGTCATATCATGAGAGAATTTATTATGCTACCTAGAATGGCGCACAACTTAAAACTTGTGAATTGTTTGCTTCTGGAATTTTCCATTTAATATTTTTGTACCTCAGTTGACCATGGATAACTGAAACCATGTTGGGGACAGGGGAGTACCTGTACTAGGAAAGAAGATGGAGACTTGACTGTGAGGAAAATTATTTCTGTTTTTGCCTTGCTTCTCTTTGTGCTATTCTATGGAATTTCTGCCTTAACTATAAGTAATGGGAGCCAGTGGATGTGTTTACACAGTGGAATGACATGATCAGAAATGTTTTGGAAGACTGGTTGGTCAATCATCTAACCATGTGGAAGATGAATTATAGGACAGATTTTGGAAGTAGATAGATGAATCGAGGCAGTTCTTGCTTGTAATAGGTCAAGCAAGAGATGAAGAGTCTTGTGGTATGATTCCATTTATATGAAATGTCTAGAATAGGCAACTCCATAGGGACAGAGAGTAGGTGAGTGGCTGCCAGGAGCTGGGGGGAAGGGTTAATGGGGAGTGACTACTAATTGGTATGGGATTTTATTCTGGGTTAATGAGAGTGTTCTGGAATTAGATAGTTGTGATGATTGCATATCCTTATGCATATACTAAAAAAACCTCTGAATTGTATACTCATAAATGGTGAATTTGATGGCATAGCTCAATTTAAAAAGAGAGAGAAGTGAGAATAGGGTGGGAGACATGAAGAGTTCCTGACAGAAGCAGGAACCATGAGAAAGAAAGTTGAAGTGCATTTGAGAGAGATTCGGTGATAGAGAATTGACTATGTGGAGACTGAATATGGGCAATTTCCAAAATGAAATTGTAGTTAGTTCTGAAGTTTCTAGTTTGTATGATTGAATTAATATGGAAAGAAATGCTGGAAAAAGAATTGTGTGAAATGTGTTGAATGTGTAATCAAGCAAGCAGTTAATGTATAGGAAGTTGACTGAAGCAATCAGTAAAACTTGCTGATAGATGATATCTTGTCCCCATCAACCCCTTTGGAAGGTGAAGTCCCATTTGTTTGTTATTCTCAGATCTGGTATAGAGGTTGTTTTGTTTTTGTTGTATAAAGCTGAGTTTTATATTACTTTTCAGGCAGAGGCAAGGCTGGCAGCAAAACGAGCTGCCCGGGCAGAAGCAAGAGATATACGTATGAGAGAGCTGGAACGACAACAAAGAGAGGTAATTTGAGGGAACAACCCTAATTTCATGCTCATCCCCCCAAAAAAATCAGTATTTGATTATTTTTTATGCAAATCTTATTCCCTTTGAAGTACTGAAAATAGTATAAACAGATGTGTTTTATCAACCCATTCTTTGTCAGCGAATTCAATATTTTAAATAATAACCAATACATATATCCCTTTTATGTACATTGTTAAATGTTATTATAGTATTATGAATGCTTTACTTATATTAGCTATAGCAGGTTTAGAGATGACAAAGTTTAGTATAGCCCTAAATGGCTTAGAATTTGAAGTAATTATATTATGATATCTGTATAGTAAAATACTGTGAAGTCATCCATCCATCTTTACAATTTTAAAACATATTTAATAATGGAGAAAAATATTATGTGAGAAAATGAAAAAAAAAAAAACTCAGCCAAACCAAAACATTAAAATTGGTAGGATACAATACAATTTTTGATATTCCTATATAACATCAAAAACTACTAAGAAGAAATAATTACTATTAATACTTTGGTTTGAGGTCAAATTATTGTTGGTTTTACTTTCTTCCTATGCTTTTCTATAGTTTACAAGTTTTCAGCATGCTTTTATTTTCAGACTGAAAAACAGAACAAAAATTTTATAAACGTGTATGGAAATTGGGCTGATTAAAATGAAATAAATACTCTTTCCTTCTCACATTGACTTGCCCCTCAAAATTCCCTTAGTAAATATTTTTGATGTTGTGGTAGTACGAAGGGGGAAAATAAGCCTATGGGACATAGTAAATACCTTATTTTATTTTATTTATTTATTTATTTATTTATTTTATTTTATTTTTTTGAGTTGGAGTTTCACTCCATCGCCCAGACTGGAGTGCAGTGGCCACTCCCGGCCACCGCAGCCTCGACCCACTGGGCTCCGGCGATCCTTCCACCTCAGCCTTCCAAGTAACTGGAACTACAGGCGCGTGCTACCATGCCTGGCTAATTTTTTTGATTTATTGTAGAGATGAGGGCTTGCCAAGTTGCCCAGGCGGGTCTTGAACCCACGGGCTCAGGCAATCCACTCACCTCGACCTTCCAAAGCACAGGATTACAGGCTGAGCCACTGAGCCCGGCCAAATACCTTTTTTTTAAATGGTTGGTTTTCTGCTAATGTGTTGAAAAGCAATGTATACGTTTCATATTGTCACAGCTCAAAAAAACAAAGAAAAGGTTGATGCGTTGCTAATTTTTTTTAAACCTCACTTATAGTTTCAAATATTGAATGTAATTCTTGGATTGAAATAGAAATGTTGCATGCAATCCATTGTCTTTTTACTCCAAAAATTATGCTGAATAATAAGTAGATGAGATAATTATTAAATGCATAAGTTCTATTTACTATCCTCTAAACTATAGGGAAATATGTATTTTGTATTATTGAATATATTTAGCTTAGTAACTTTGAGCAACTATCATTTCTCTTTGGAGAAAATGTGTATGATTAATTTAATTTTTGGAGAATGCAGTATATTGGAAACTCTAGTTTATGAAACTTTTGCATTTGTAGCATTCTCATCATTCCTTTGATCGGAAATGGGGACAGATTCAGAAGTGGCTGGTAGGCCAGTATTGCCTGTCCTGCATGGTGTGATCAGTTGCTGAAATAATGCAATCTTTAAGTAAAACATTGACTAATAGTTTGCAAAGCAGGCACATTTGGCCTGTGTGAACCTAAAGGTCATAGTATCTATTCTGTCCATAGCGGAGCAAAGGTGTACTTGGAGTCCAACCACTTTCTGTTGTGGTCAGTACCCTCATCTTCATCTCATGAATGCTTTTGATCAAGAGAGATTGAGAAAATGAATGTTTTATTTTTATAGTTTTGTTCTTTTCTCACATCCCTTCCTCCCCCCCTTTTTTAAAAAAAATAATTAAAGTCTACAGGGTCTTCGGTGAGAGATGATCCAAGTCATTCTTTCATCTCCTCTGAAAATTACTCTTATTATGTCAACTCTTTCAGTTCCCTTTCAAGTCCTCTACCACTACTTCCAAATTTGTTAGCTACAAAAGCAAACTGTAAACCTGTAGAATGTTATTTTACATCATTTCTAAATTTGAACATTTTTCAAGTTTGATAAATTCTCTCTCTCCTGTTATGAGATTCTTAACTTGGTATGTGACAAGGCTTGGGAGGTAATGTATGAAACCTTAAAATCAAATGCAGACTTTTAAATATATGTATTTTTATGGGAAATGCCTATAGGTATTTTTAAATTCAGATTCTCAAAGGAGTCTGTGATTCCTAAAGGGTTAAGAACCACTGTCTAATTGCTGCTAAACAAACAACCTTCATAAGTAAATTTCTTCTATAACAGCATTTTAAGGTATACATATTTATGACTGTAATGATTCTCAAATATAAAACTTTACCATAATTCTCATTATGATATTAGAACAGAAAAAAGATGTTTGGTTACTAAAAATTAAATGACTCGTATGTGTGTGTTATTTTGGAGTGGAATCTGTTCTTTCTTAGTAACTAAAGCTAGTTAATTTTATTTGAAGTGTCTTCTGCATGTAACTGGGTTAATACTATTGATGATGTATTAAAAATGCTTTGCATGAATGAAAGAAATCTCTTCTGCTCAGCATGGTAGCCTGCACATGTAATCCCAGCTACTCAGGAGACTGAGGTGAGAGGATCACTTTGAGGCCAGGAGTTTGAGACTAGCCTGGGTAGAGATTCCGTCTCTATAGAAAAATTAAAACTTATCCAGGTGTGGTGGTGCATGTCTGTAGTCCCACCTACTCTGATGACTGAGGTGGGAAGATTGCTTGAGCCCAGGAGTTGGAGGCTATAGATCACCACCGCACTCCAACCTGGGCAACAGAGTGAGGTCCCATCTCTTGAAGAAATAAAAATAAGTCACTTTTACTTGCAAAAATTTTCATGGAAATTTTAGTTTAATTTGTTCTTTTAATTATTTACTGTAATTCTAATGTTAAATTGCCTAAGATTTTAGTATCTTAGGGTAGACCAAAAAACATTAAATAAAAAGAAAAGTCTGTGTTAAAAGTCTAATATTTGATTTCTGTGTTCAGGGTCAGGAAGATAAGCAATCTTTTTTTTTTTTTTGTAAGTCTGTGGAATGTGTGCGGTTTAGGCAGTAAGTATGCTAGATTTACATTGAAGGGAGATCGGTTTGAGTTAGAGTTTTAAAATGTAAGTGGACTAACCCATATCTTAATTGACAGCTAGGACTTGACTGGTGCTGTGGCTTTTAAAAAATAAAACCACTTCATCCTCATTTCAAGTGAACTTTTAAAAACAATATGTTTCATTTTTATTAATTTACTTTAAATATATCAAAACATAATTTTGGCCAGGCATGGTGGCTCATGCCTGTAATCCCAGCACTTTGGGAGGTGGAGGCGAGAGGATTGCTTGAGCCCAGGGGTTTGAGACTAGCTTGGGCAACTTGGCGAGACCTCGTCTCTACAATAAGTCAAAAAACTAGCCAGGCATGGTGGTGCACACCTGTGGTTCCAGATACTTGGAAGGCTGAGACAGATGAATTCGCTGAGCCCAGCAGGTTGAGGCTGCAATAACTGCGAGCGTGCCACTGCACTCTAGCCTGGGCGACAGAGTGAGACTCTGACTCAAACAAAACAAAAGAAAAAAAAGCAAGCCGGGCTCGGTGGCTCAGTCTGTAATCCCGCGCCTTTGGGAGGCTGAGGTGAGTGGATTGCCTGAGACCGCGGGTTCGAGACCCGCCTGGGCAGTGAGACCTCATCTCTACAATAAATCAAAAAATCAGCCGGGTGTGGTAGCACATGCCTGTAATTCCAGCTACTTGGAAGGCTGAGGCGGAAGGATCGCTGGAGCCCAGCAGGTCGAGGCTGCGGTGGCCGGGAGCGGTCACTGCCCTTCAGCCTGGGTGACAGAGTGAGACTCCAACTCAAAAAAGAAAAGAAAAGAAAAAAAACCATAATTTTGAACAAATACATAGCAATCTTTTAAGGCACTGTCCTGTTCATTTGGTCCTTAGCTTCTTAGTACTAATGAAGACTCCTGGGGTAATGACAATGTATTATTTTCCTGATTGTGGAAGAGAGGGACAATCCGCATTGTAATTGGTACTGAAGAATTGTTTGCTGTAATCTTTTCTCTTTGGTCACTGGTGGTATTTATTCAAGAAAAACCAGTTGGCAGTGTAACTACTACTTTAGAAATACCTGGGAAATGAAACTTTTTGTTCTTATGGGGTAGCATCTCTGAGTAAAAATCAAAATACTTTGCCATTTTCTTCTGTGTAACTGGTGGAGATATAGACAGTGTGGGATGTTATCTTTATGGTTCAGTGGTCTGTTGATTCAGAAGGTCTGAATGCTAGTCCCAGCTTTATGACTCTGTGGATTCTTACTTAATCTTTCTGTGCTGCAACTTTCTTTACCATAAAATGAAGGGATCAGACTAGATGATCTCTAAGGACCCCTTTAGATCTTAAAATGAATTGCTTCCAGTCTTTTATGTAAGCATTTCCTTCTGTTTCTCTCACATTTGCAACTGTGCAAAGGTATTCAAGGCAGGAAGAGTACTTAAAAACTGCCCAAATGCTTTGCCTTTCTACATGAGGGTAGTGCTACTTGCCACATTCTCAGTTGTTTTGAATGTTTTTGGTGTAATTAAAATTGGTTTTGAGCTTACCTTACTGTTTTACCTAAACATACTTGTCAAATGGGTTTAGAGAAGTGCTATCTAGTATGGTAGCCACTAGTCATGAGTAGGTAATTAAATTTAAATTTATATGGACTAAAATTAAATAAGCTCTCTCCGCCTCTCTTTCTCTCTCTCCCTCTGTCTCTCTCTCCCTCTCTGCAACTCTCTCCCCGCCTCTCTCCCACTTCCTCTCTCTCCCTCTCTCTCCACAGACCCTTTCCCTTTTTCCCTTGTAACTGCCGCTTTAATAAATCTCTTGGCCTTAAAAAAAAAAAAAAAATTAAATAAAACTTGAAATATAGTTTCTCAGTTGAACTGTCATTATTCAAGTGCATAATAGCACATGTTAGACAGCATATTAGACAGCACAAATATATCAACATTTCCATGGTTACAGAAAGTTCTATTGGACATTGCTTATATAAGATGTAACTTATGACTATGGAATAAACTATAGTCTCTGTCCAAATTAACTGGCTTTGTTTATATTTTGCTTTGTAGTTTTCTTAAGTCTTTTCAGTCTGATTTTTCAAATGGAACTAAAAAAAAGAGCTGTTTAAATGTAGAAGTACTGTATATCAATACTTAATAAGGTACTTTAACCTAGAATTATTTTCATAATGGGCATAATTGGAAATAAATATGAATTCATCTGTCTTTGATGGGATGTTCTTTTTAGGTGGGTTTTTTTAAAAAGTGCTCTTACATGGTAGATGAAATGAAAAGAAAGGCTAGAATAAAGGTGAGATTGGACATGAAGCCATGTATTTTACCCTAGTACTTCAAATAATGCTGAAACTATAATTAACTTGCCTCTAGTACAAGGCTTTTAAAATTAACCAAGCTAACTAGCCTTCAACTGGTTAACTCAATAAGCTGTGCTCACCCTACTGAGCTAACACATGCCCCCAAAACTTTGTGGTGTCAACTGAAAAAGAAAAGAAAGAGATTGACTTGGCTTCTTGCAGACTTGTGTCTGTTGCATAACAAAAAATGTAAATCAGTCTGAATTTCTAAAGATCAGAATACCATTGGAAATTGAGTCATAATAGTGCTTAAAAACAGACTTCAGAACAAATTTGGTGAAGTGAATCAGTGTATAGCAAATGTCAACCAGGATTTTTTTAGAATTATACTTAAAGATCGTGACAAAATAAGGTATTAAACTGATGTTTCAGTTGGATTACTGTTTCTATTTTGACATGAATAGTCAGTGATAGCCACTCATTTGTTACACCAGCCTATGATCATGCTGGATTGCCATGGAGCGTTGAAGCATTGATTTATTTTGGAAAAGATAGCGTTGATGACCTGTGAACCCTGTTGGACAGTTGTGTGAGGATTTTCAGTCAGTGAAAATTACTTTAACACTTTGGATTTTGAAATTCTGAAAGACCAGAAATTTCTTAATGTTTCGGGTGATTAGATTCTAGGGACTAGCCATTTCATTTCTCATGACTCAGGCCTTAATGCTTTATTGCTAATAGCTGAATGGAAAAGTTTAGAATTGCATTTATTTTAGTTAGCTGTTAAGCTCCCGTCATTTTAAAAAATATTAATCTGCTTAAGGAATGACTCTTGATAACTTTATCAACTTTAAAATATTAATATAATTTTTTCTAAGTAAAAGTTTTTCATATTAACAATACATAGGGTCTATTTCACTTAGTTTCTTTCTAGTTAGAATGATAAAAGAGAAAAAATGTTTACAAGTGAGCCCAAAATTAAAATCCAAGTATTTTTAGAGCAATATACTGTCTTAAAATACGTCTATGATAAACATTTCTTTTTGCCCTCATAAACTAATGTTCACAATGAAAAAAATACATTGTTTTTAATGCTGAACTCAACTTGTCTTTGTTAAAATTTCATTTTATCGTGGTATATTGAACTCTCTTGGTCTTATATAGACTATTATAAGTGGTCAGACGTGTGTACGTCTGACAAAATAAGAACATTGCCAAGATTATTTCTACTTTCTTTCTAACCAAAGAATGTGACTGCCTCAAAGCTAAGTTGTCCAAACTTGCCTGCACTAAGGAAGGTGTTGCTTTGCTGTTAACTGGCTGTTCTTTGCTCAGTTGTTCTGATAAACAACTGCCTGTTCAGTGATTAACTCTTCATGTACTTTCTCCTTTCCCAGGAAGATTCAGAAAGGGCCAGGTATTCCCACCGGTCCAGACACCATCGTCCTTATCTGGTTTGTAATAACCTAATAACCTGTAAGCTTGTTCCTAATACTTCTTCTCATTAGCTTAATGCAGTCACTCACAAACTTTTACTGTTTGTTTTTATTTTTATCAGGGAGTTGAGGATGCATTGTCCATTCGAAGTCTTGGCAGTCACAGGGTTGGTATTTTAAGTTGTCTACATAATACAAAGCTTATTCTTTTTTTTAAAAAGTAGAAGATATTAGCAAAGACCTTTCATTGGCAAATGATGCTTTCTCTCAAATTATTGCTATAAATAAATATGTTCTAAAATCATGAATATCTTAATCTATTAACATTTAATCTATAACATATCTGTTATCTTTTTCTATAAAAGGACCTTTGATTTTCGAAAAGTATCACAAAATAATTAAGATTGGTCTTATGGAATAATATGTTTGATTCTAACTTTCAGGCTTTACTTTCATATCTTAGAAAAAATGAGACTTTATTAAATGTGAAATAGCTTTTGGGACTTGAATGTCTATAATTTTACTATGTGGACAAATTGAGCTATTGATTTGGAAAATTGTTTGCATATATATATAGGAATTATGTTTTGACATTTTGATGAACATTTTATAGAATGTCCCAGATTTTTAGCATGGATTGTTTATAAGTCAAGATAAATGAGAAGTTGCTCCTTAAAAACTCACATTATGCTAAGACCCTGATCTCTCTCTCTCTCAAAAAATTGTGCTTTAAATATTAAAGCAGTGCTTTTATTTTGCACATTGATAATGCTGTATATATACTTACATCTAGGCTTTTTATCAGTTAAAATAATCTTTCATGTTAAAGATTAGGTTATTTTTCCCCAACTCTTAATTTTCTATTTGATAAAGTATACAAATACATTATAATAAACTGAGTGTGTTCTGACGTATTATTTATTCATGCTGGTTATTTTTCTCTTTGGTAAATATAATTTGCTGTCTTTCTAGAGTGAGTTGCTAAGCGAGTTTTTTTTTTTTAACATTAATTTTATTTTAAAGATATGGGGTACAATTCAAGATTAGGTATACAAGTGGTCATCGTACAAGTAAAGTTTGGGCCTCCCTAAGCTAGTTTTTAAATCAAATATTTTCATTATAAAACTTTATATTTTTAAGAGTATTTACAAATCTTTATAGAAATCTAAGATAATCGACAACTTTAAACATTTAATAATAAATTTGTAACGCTTCTCCCTGGAGATATAGATAGTATTTTGTTTTTTCTCTTTACATATTTTGAAAAGAATCATATAGGTAGTTAGTTAACAAAAGCTTCAAAGTTGAGTTTCAAAGACTGTGAAAATAATCTCCCCTTGTTTTTAATTTGTTTTTTTCTTTACTTTTTATTATAATGTTCATATTGTGTATTTTTACACAGTTGTCATCAAGCTGGTTATTTGTAAATTTGTATGTGACATTAGGGAAACTTGATTATACATTTGTTTAACTTAGAGATAAAATCAACTAAATTTGAAGTAATTTGGTGGCCTTTAAAACAAATCTACAGACAAACAAAAAAGAAATCTGCAGTTAAACTGATAAGTAATTATTTACCCAGAGTGTCTATATAATCAGTTAATTTTTTATGGCAGTTGTATCATTAAACAAATTTAGGATATAATTATAACTCTCCAGTATTTTGTTTTATTATGTTAATCTTTGAAAATTTGTTATACAGATTATGATAAAACTCCTAATATTTTTTAGAGTCATTGTGTGAACCTAAAGATTAATAAAAGTTTTACGCTTCAGTACTTTACTATCTGTGAGTGTACATCCAAGGGAATATTAAATCTTTATTATTTATTTATTTATTTTTTGAGTTGGAGTCTCACTCTGTCGTCCAGACTGTAGTGCAGTGGCTACTTCCGGTCACCGCAGCCTCAACCTGCTAGGCTCTGACGATCCTTCCGCCTCAGCCTTCCAAGTAGCTGGAACTACAGGCGCGCACTACCACACCCGGCTAATTTTTGATTTATTGTAGAGAAGAAGTCTCGCCAAGTCGCCCAGACAGGTCTCGAACCCGCGGGCTCAGGCAATCCACTCACCTCAGCCTCCCAAAGGTGCAGGATTATAGGCTGAGCCACCGAGCCCAGCTCAGTATTAAATCTTTAGAGTTTGCTAGAAATACGTCTAAAAGCTCACTGATAGCATCGTTTAAAGGAAATATAGCTGAGATAATTTTTTTTCTGTTTTAACTAAATAATATTGGGATTTATAAGTTTTCATCTAATCTGATTAGACCTTTTGTCCAATTGACTTTCAGATACTACCTTTGAAAGGCAGCTTGCCAGAAGCTATTTGGGCTGGAAACATTGATGTCAATGCTATAGATATTCTGTGTAAAATAAAAAGAGCAAAGGTAGTTCAAGACTGAATGGTAGGATCAGGGGAGAGAGGATTTAAATTTAAAGCTGTGGGTTTAGAATTGAAACAGTCTGTATCTATTAGTTTTGTGTAATGATCAGATTATTGATAGTGTGGGATGTTAGTGGTTGCTTTAAAAAAAAATCATACAAATGCTTGGCCATCACTTTATATACTGAAATACAAGTAGATGATAAAGTAGAGGTCCAAAATTAGAAAATGATGTGATCTTGATTGAATCGGAGCTGCAGGGCTATATCACCATTTCACATTGATGTATATTTTTACTGTTGTATTATTTAGTTCCTATTTTTGTATCTATGACCTTGATATAATTTTAGTGAATTTAATTTTTAAAATATGCTTGATTTCATTGAAGAACTCATCGAAGGATATAACTGAGACACTTTGGAGCAGAGCCAGTACCTCCAAAAGGAAAAACACCATGGTGTGTAGCCCAGAAAAATGTGTGGTTTTAGTATTATGCATTCACTGTTGACTTTCAGTGTACTGAAGTTTGAGTAATAGGTACATTCTAATAGAAATGGATGCTTGCTGAACTTTGTTTCCACAACCTGTTTGCTATATATGTACTTTCTTTCTAGTTCGTTTCCAAATGAAAACTTTCAGGCAAGTTTGTGTGAGAGTTAAAAAAAAAATTATAATAGCAAATTTGGAAATGTTTTAGCTGAACCCTTACTATTTTCAGTTTATCTCCTTTGATGAATTATTTTAAAATAAACAAACAAACATAAATATCAACTTTCACTTATTGGGACGGATCTTTCTGTTTGCCCAATTTTTCTAGTAGCAATTCACATGTCCAAATTATTGATTTCTCTACCAGATAGATTCAGCAGTTTTTAAAATCAGCTGAATTATATATTGGAAAAGGTAAATTGACTTAGGTTAATTTCAGTTCACCTTGTTAAATCCTATGCTTGTGTAAAATGCCATTGGTGCTACAGAAAGTATGAGAAGACATAAGATATGACTATTCTTTTTAATAAATTTAGTGGTTGGGAGGAAGGAATCGTTTGTGTGCTAGAAGGTGTAACTTGGGTAAATATATATTTTGATCGTGGATTTTTTTTTAAACAAGAGAGTTAGATATTCTGTTGATTAAGAAAAGAAATAAATGAAATTTCTATAAAGAGGGAACTTTATTTTTAGGGGCATGTCACTCATAATAGAGTGACTTTTATCGTTGTACACTATTTACCAAAAGCACACCTTTATACATTTAAAATTTTTTTGTAACAATATTTTGTGACATATACAATAGTAACACTCTTTATTTCTTGCCTTTTCTGTTAGTTTTAGGATAATTGCAAATGCAGATATTTTGATCCAATACTTTTTGGTATTATAATAACATTTTCAGTGAATTTATACCAGTGGTAAAATTGCCCCATTTAGCCTTATATTTATAGAATATATTTTTTGAGGTTTCTGCAGTATCTTTTGTAAATGACCATCTCATCAGGCATGAAGGGAGGGACTTTGTTCTGCCTGAACAATTGTTTTAATGCCTTATTAGAACTAGATTTTATAGTTTCATCTTCTAATATAGTTTTAGCTTTTAAAAATTGTGATCTCTACAACAAGAAATACATCTCTTATACCATAAATCAGTATACAATGAAGATCCACGCATGTGTTTGTATATAAGTATACGAATCGAAATATATAAAATATGTGAAATGCATTATTGAAACAAAAGTTTCATGAAATATTTACTCTTACTGTGTATAACACCATATATTTTCTGTTTCATTTTTTAAAATGCTGGTTGAGCCTACTAAATTGATTTTCTGAACTACAAATGAGTTGCTATCTATACTGAGGAAAACATTACCTTAGATCACGTTTTTTAGGAGCATTCCCTAAAACCCTAAATGGATATAAGAGTTGTAAAAGAAAGATATTTGACCAAACAGAATTTAAACTACCTGTGGAACTTGTTCATTGCTTTTATTTGTTTTATATGCTGACTTTCAGAGTAAGACAGCCTAAAAAATGTAAGCTAGAATGCTTAAGAAACAATGTTAGGAAACCACAAATCTATTTAGTTACTATTTAATTTATTTCTTGGATTTGAAATAGGTGCTATACACCTTAGTGTTGTGATTTATTTATTTGTTTGTTTGTTTATGTATTGAGTAGGAGTCTCACTCTGTCATCCAGGCTGGAGTACAGTGGCACGCTCACGGCCATGGCAACCTCTACCTGCTAGACTGAGGCGATCCTTCCACCTCAACCTTCAAAATAGCTGGAACTACAGGCATGTGCCACCACGCCCAGCTAATTTTTTGATTTATTGTAGAGATGAGGTCTCACCAAGTTTCCCAGGCTGGTCCTGAACCCATGGGCTCAGGTAATCCTCTCACCTTGGCCTCCCAAAGTGCTGGGATTATAGGCATGCCACTGTGCCCAGCCACATCTTAGTGTTTTAAAGGATCCTACTTGAAATGTGGTTTTCTGGTTTTATAATGAATTTTTAATATTTTTCTTTAATTTATATTTACTATTACACGTATATGTATACTACGCATTCCACACTTTGCTTTGACCACATTTCTCATTTTATTCAATGTTTTCTTGGGGAAGAAACTTGTCAGGTGTTTGTCCACATGCAGATTCAGGGGAACGCTTCCCATTTTGATGCTGCAGTTGTTCTTTTATAAGCTTGATCATGCTAGTTATGTACTCTTACCTTATTGCCTATTTATTATTTGCTTTTGCCATTTTTCAAATGATGGGAAATGATGCTAATAGTGATAATAATTAAAAATAAGCTGAGAGCAGCGGCTCACGCCTGTAATCTCAGCACTTTGGGAGGTGGAGGCGAGAGAATTGCCTGAGCCCAGGAGTTTGAGACCAGCCTGGGCAACTTGGCAAGACCTTGTCCCTATAATAAATAAATAAATAAAAATTAAGGCATCTTTGATGTTAGAATGTTTAATTCTTGCACTTAAAGGCTCCCTTAGGGTGTTTTGTGCCATAATATACTAAGAGTGAATCATATCACCATTACTGATGAATTTTGTTATTTAAAAGAAAAACATACAATTTTGAATATCCATACAATTTAGCACTACAGTAGGGGGATGATATTGTTTAATTCAGATGTGTTGGCTTTCATGTTTAATACTATTTTCTTTTAAAATAGTGCTGGATTTATAATAACTGCAAACATTTCTTTCTCTCTTTATATTTCTGAATTTGAAAATAAACCAACTTTATGGTTTTCTGAAATCCAGTATGATACGCTCAAGGATAGATCGTCAAGACTCTCATTAGTATGTAGTGCATGACTTTGTGTTAAATTTGTAATTTTACTTTGTAAACACCTGTTGATGCTAATTGTAGATTAGACTAACCTTCGTGGCTTTGTTATGATCTTTTGAAAAAAAATGTGTGCCTAACAATGCAAAAATTTATTGCAAAAATAAGTTGTGGCATAATTTGTCATTTGAATAGTAATTTTTTCCTTTAGAATTTCAGGAACAGATAAGTTATTTTCTTCTCTCTTGGGGGCTAAGATTGGCAGTAATATCTTTTCTTAAAACGATGAGCCACCCACCTAACACATACTCTTTGCCCTGGAAGACTGTTAGAAACATGTCTTCATTTTGAACTGAACTATAGTAGCATTAGCCCAACTTTGTTTCATGTCATGAGTCACAAGCTAGTAGGTGTATGAAGTTGTTAAATAGAAAACATCCATCAGTGATAGGTCACACCTAAGACATCAGTTATGTCCAAGTATTTTGCTTTGATGTTTAAAAAATAGTATATCATATTAACCAAGGAAGTTAAGTTGCAACTTTTTTTTCTTGGGTTAATATTATGTTAATTGTTGCCTGAGTTTCTAGATAATATGGATATCTCTTAAAATGTTCAGAGTAATATATAACAGGAAAGATACATATTCAAAAAAAGAAAAATGAGCTTATAATCATTGATTTGGGATCTATCAGTAGCAGTTCATATGTGAGATGGTTTGCTTAGAGCAGATAGTCTGTTGCCATTGGCTATTGTTAGGTAGGGCACTTCTGGCTGCACCCCTCGTTTCAGGTGAGTGGTACATACTTAGATTGGACTTCTTGCTTATCAGTTTACATATTTGTATATAGTATTGTCGTCTTTTGCCCTCCCTTGCCCCCTCATATACACTTGGCTCTGTATTCTTAGGAGAAGTAAGATACTGAGACAGTCCAATCTTCAAAGGACCCTTGTGTAAGGTGACTGTTTAGTAGTGCTGCTGCAAAACTGGGCAATCATTATTCTGGTTGTTTTCCTCTTGAGTGGTACCTGTTGTGGGTCAACTTGGGTTGAGAGTACTGCCTGGGGCAATGCAATGTCATGTTCTTTGTTCTCTCAATCCTGTTTTGGTTGATTCAAAGGATTGCTTTTTGACCCTTAGGTTAGGAAGACTATGGAAGAAAGTGAATTATCTTGCCACCTATACCTTTATAAAGAAGATAGAGGGACTCAAATGAGGTGTGAAGTGAAGGTCCCCACAAATATCTTGCCTGGCTCTGAGTCCTAATCAAGTTTTCTTTAGCTGTCCAGACCCTAAGTTGGATGCTGGGCCCAGAGGGAGGTGAGATAGGAATGCAGATTTATAGAGACACATAGGTTAATCAGTCAAGTATAGTGAATCATATATAAACAGATGGGAAATAGACTGCATGTAGACCACTCTGTATCTCATACAGACCTTTGTGTGTATAATTTTAAGATGAATTTTATTAAATTATTATTATAATTTCACTATGTGATTATTAAAGTTAACTTAAAATATTTACTTCCAGAACCATTCTTACAGTCACTCTTATGGAATGAAGAAGAGATCTTCTGGTCCTCATAAAGACCCACTGGTTAGTTCCATTGAGTCTCATATCATAATTCATTGATTACTTTTAAGGAACTTAAGAATAACTGCAGGGAGGCGGTGAGAGGGCGACATAACACTAATAAGGGTACCTGATCCCAAATCAGGTGAAGTGAGAACCAATAGGAGGCCCAGACTTCACCTGCACAATGACCATTTATGTAACTAACCCTGAATTATACCTCACATTAAAAAAAAAAAAAATCAATTAATTAAAAAAAAAAGAATGATCACTGCTTTGGTGTGTGCTCCTAAGGCATTATTTAAACTTGATAATTTGGTGAAACATGATTTATCAGAACTTTATTAAAAATAAATTTGTTTTCATTTATAATATTGAATATCAAATTAACATATGTGAATCCCAGGCTAGAGTTAGTTAAGTGTCACAAGAAGCTCATTAACAAGTATTTTCATTTATGAACTATCCTTTGGAGTTTATCTCAAGAATAGGTTTGGTGAGAGTCTCATCCTTATTTTAGAAATTTGAATTGATTTAGTTGTGATATTATGGGCAGTACCAAAGTCACAAATAGGTTTCAATCTAAACATTTGTTTGTTGAAAAATTGGAATTCATTTTCTGGTAGAAACAATAAATATGTAATGGCAGAGTTCCCATGTTAGCTTGCTGAAAACTCTTTAACCTTTAATGTAATTAAACTGCAGAATTAATATGCTCTTTATTCCAGCTACCTTGCTGAAGGACATTACTGTGGAGAAAAAAATGTCTCCAGAATGCCCACTTGGTATACTAGGAATACCTGTTTCCTGTTAGGCTCCAACAGTACTGGCAAAGGAAGCTCAGTTCCAACTCTGCTAATTCAGGGTTCCCATGGGAAGGGTGAGGAAAGAGTTGACAGGCTTAGGCCAATAGAAGGGATGGGGGGAGAATGTCATGGAGAGGACATTAGCAAGAGTCCCTGGATGGTGGGGTTTGGGATCTCTGGGGAGAGTTGAGCACGGCACCAGGTTGATGGTGTGAGTGGGGAGGTGCAGGAAGGCAGGGCCAGGAGTGGAAGGGATTGGGTGGGAGTAGAGGTGTCCCTGACTGTAGTGTCAGCCATGGAGGAGTCTTAAGTCAGAGATTACCTGAATTTGCTTAACCTTAAATTAAAAAGATTGCTAGAGAAGTTGGAAAGGGAATTTTATAGATGATTTTCTCCCCCTCAGATAACCACAATGTATAAAATTATTGTTTTGTGCAGTGTAATGAAAATGAACCTGCCATAAATGTTTTAGACCAAACCATATTCGTTGCGCGCTCTCTCTCTCTCTCTCTCTCTCTCTCTCTCTCTCTCTCTCTCTCTCTCTCTGGTAACTTAATTTGCTGTTTATTTTGACAAATAATAGGACTAGGAAGTTTGGACTCAAATACAGTAACTCTAATCATTAATCTGGCTTTGTCAAATGGACTATAAAAATGGTAATTATTCAGTTGTCCTGGAGTTTTCAAGGACATTTTAAAGTATGACATGAGAATAAATCAGTTATTTCCATTCCATTTTGTCTGAGGCTTTATTGTCTTGCTGTCAAAGTAAAAAAAAAAAAAAATTAGTAATGTCCTGGTTTGAAAACAGTTAAATTTTAATACCGATGTTTTTTGAGAGACTTGAAATAATTTTTATTTTAACTTAATATGGTACAATGATTTAAAGGCACTGTTTTGGTGAAGGGATTTGATAATATCAGATTTGCCTTTGAGCATTTAATTTTGCCTTTGTATGTTGTTAGATTAATAACATTTAACCTAAGAAAAAAATGTCTTTAATTTTGCTTTTTGCAGAGTGGCCTCTACTTTGACCAGAGAAACTATAGCAGTCTTAAACATAGCAAACCTACCTCTGCCTACTACACTCGGGTTTGTCTGAAATTTTTTTGGCGTCCTGTGTTTTTTATCTACCTTTAACACATTTCTAATCCCCCATTTTTGCATTTGACTAGCTATAACTAATCTGTAAATGGCTATGTATATACTAGTTTTTGGTAATTGTATTCATATAGTCTGTGTGAGTCTCTTTAAACAGTGGAAACTGTTGAATCACCATGTTTGTAAATGAGTACTTTTTTTAACTTTTTTTTTTTTTTTTTGAGTTGGAGTCTCACTCCATCACCCAGGCTGGAGTGCAGTGGCACATTCACCGCCACCCCAGTGTCGACCTGCTGGGCTCTGGTGTTCCTTCCACCTCAGCCTTCCAAGTAGCTAGAACTACAAGCACGCGTAACCACACCTGGCTAATTTTTGATTTATTATAGAAATGAGGTCTCACCAAGTTGCCCGGACTGGTCTCGGACCGATGGGCTCAGGCAATCCACTTGCCTCAGCTTCCCAAAGTGCTGGGATTATAGACTGAGCCATGGAGCCCGGTGTACAATTGTTTCCAATGAAAATTTTCAGACATACAAAAAAAGTTCAAAGAATTATATAGTAAACACCATATACCTCCTATTTAGGTTAGATAAGACAATGTATTATATTTCCTTTATCACATAATTATCTGTCTGTCCCTCCATCCATCTGTACATTTTAGTGTTTTGTTTTGTTTTTTAGAGAAAGCAGAATTTATTGAGAGGGCAGAAAAGCTCCCACAGTGGGAGGGGACCTGACAGAGTTGCCCCATTTTAGCTTTTGATGCATTTCAAAATAAGTTGTAGACATCAGTATACTTCATGGTGGGTACCCTTTTTAGAAAGCTTACTACTGGTCGTGGTGGCTCAAGCCTGTAATCCCAGCACTTTGGGAAGCCAAGGCAAGAGAATTGCCTGAGCCCAGGGGTTCAAGACCAGCTTGGGCAACATGGCGAGACCTTGTCTTGATCTCTACAATAAATCAAGAAATTAGCCAGGCGTGGGAGCATGCACCTATAATTCCAGCTAATTGGAAGGCAGAGGCAGAAGGATTGCTGGAGTCGAGCAGGTCGAAGCTGCGTTGGCAGTGGGCGTACCACTGCACTCTAGCCTGTGCAACAGAGTGAGACTCTGACTTAAAAAAGATAAATAAATAAAAAACTTACATGTGAAAATGTAATCTACACATGGGATGAGAAGAATGCAATTATTAGTTTGAATCTCTTATTTTTCTGAAGGCATTTCATGCATCATTTAAGATATCTGCAAACACATCTTAAATACTGTTATCTTTCATGTCTGATTGGGTTTGGTGAATCTGAAGGCCTTAAAACCCCAGAAGGAAAACTACTTGAGGGAGGTGAAAAAAACCCTGAAAATTGTGTCCTCAGATGACATCAGGAAAAAAAAGTTTCAATTCCTTTTTAAAAAAAAATTTTGTGGCCTTTTAGTGCATGGATTCATTGTGATTGGTATAATTTATCTGATTAAACTAAGGCACTTTGTCCATGGCTTATTTTGAAATACAAGTGTTCCAATCTATTTGAAAAAGAGCATTTGTAGTGATAACTCAGAGCTTACTTCTCTGGTTCCCTGGTAACCAATTTAAGTCCATTAGGAGTCTGTCATGAAATCACTGAAAATATCACAGGAGCTGTTGGTTACTGGGATGTGGCCACTGTTTGCCACATACCCTGTGCTGTGACCTTCTTTTCCTCAGTGTTTTCTTAGGTTACTATCCCATATCCTAACAATAATGTTCAAAGAGCAATAGAACATTAACACATTTATAGAAAATTGTTCCAAGTGTGCTTCTTTCTTATCTCTTACAATTAGTATTCAAAAACATTTCTAACGACTTAAGTTTTTCTACTTCTTGTGTTTCTTAACCACCTTAAGTTCATAAGAAGTGCTAATGAATTATGAAATTTAGAATGATAAACTTAAGTCTTCTGCTTTCACGATGGTGAGACCAATTCTTTTTTGTTTTGTTTTAATTTGTTTTTGTCTCTTAGCAGTCTTCTTCCCTGTACAGTGACCCTCTGGCGACAACTAAGAGTTACAGGGTTAGTACTTTATGAGGAGTGTGTTGTCTTCAGAGCTACCAGTTACTTTTCTTTGAGTTTAATAATCTGCTTTTTTTCTTAGGCCTCTCCTCCTGCAAATTCTGGTCTGCTGAGAAGTGCCAGTCTGGTTTGTAATTTCCTCTCCCGGTGTGCACTGCTGGGTCACTGTCATGGTGCTAACACTATGGCTTAACAGCTTTTCTCCAAAATAGTCAAGGACACATGATTTAAAGTCATGTATACTGCAGATGGTGCTGTCAGTGCTTAAAATATAAAACTTTAGGGTATTAAAAATAAGCATATTCCCTTCACAGAGGCAGATACTGCTGGCTGTTGGTAGTCCTTGTTTAGAATCAGTTTTTTTACAGAGAAGATGTATCTGCATGGGTTCCACCATTCTCACATACTTTTGTGAGATGACTGCTTATGAAAAGGATGTCATATTTTTCTTTGGGACAGCTGTGATCTTGGCCTCCTTAATACTAGGGTGTAATGAAGCAAGCTGAATAGAAAGCAGAAGTAATAGCTTTGTGAATTGTGAATTGATTGCTTTCAAGCTGTTTGTTGTGTTGTGGCCTATTCTAATAGACTGGGACTGAGGTTTTTTAACTTAATTTTATTGTGATAGTGGACAAAATGCTTTCTGTACCTCAGTTTCCTTTTCTGCTCTGTTTCATCTTTTGAAAGAATAAATTTACAAATGCTGCTTCACCTAGTTTCATAACAGGATGGTGAAAGAGAATACTGTAACCAGTGGTGTTTTTGAAGAATTAAGTGTAAGGTCGATGTTATATAATGAGACTGATGCAGCAATTTATGCATATTAATGAATGTTATCACCTTCAGAGTTTTCACTTTGAGAGGCTATATACTTTAATACTATTCTTCAAAACCTTTTTGGCATTGAGTAGTGCAAGAAAGTTAAGATCTTTTCAAAACAACTTTGATGCTAAATAGATAAATGATATTTCTTTTGTTCTTTAGGCATCATTGTACAGTGGTGGATTATATAACACTTATGGTTCTCAAACTGTAAGTCTAAACAAGGGAAGGTGGTGAAGAGGGGGGTGGTGTAGGTGGGCACAGTTTACTTACAAAGAAAGAGTCACTTAATCTGACCTGTAATTACTGTATACGCTGTGATCCATTCATTCAGCTAGCCAGTTGTGACTCTCACCCAAGCTGTGAGGAATTCCAGCTACTTGGAAGGCTGAGGCAGAAGGATCACCAGAGCCCAACAGGTCGAGGCTGTGGTGGCCGGGAGCGGCCACTGCACTCCAGTCTGGGCGACAGAGTGAGACTCCAACTCAAAAAAAAAAAAGTCCATGCTAGAAAATCATGGCTTAACATTTGAGGAGAGTCCATAGAAAAACCTTTTTTTCTTGCTCATTAGTTCCCCTGAAGAAGTTCTGAGCAGCGCTTGTCAGGGCATCCCCTTCCTCTTCTCTTCTTCCAGCCAAGGGCTGGTGGATCTTGAGGGTGGGTACGGAGTAGAGCTCCAGACCACTTACTTTATCCCGTGAACCAAGGGCAAGTTTGGTACATGGTCACTAATGTATTTTTAGCAGAAAAGGGAGTGGATCATTGTAAAACCTTTCTTCTTGGAAACTTTATAGCCATCTGAATGCAGTTATTACTCATCAAGAACAAGTTCAGCCCAAAGCAGTCCTGTGGTGAGCTGTCTAGTCTCTTTGCATGCTTTGTAGAAACTTTTTGTTTTATTAATCTATACTCACAGTTTAGAATACCAAGGATATGGTGTGTTTCACTCTGTTGTGCATGGATTATGGTGTTCCTTCAGTTCAGAAGCTCAAACACTAATATGTCCTAATAATTGGTGATTTCTGTATGAATGTTACTTAGTATGTAATTTCTTTTTTTTCTTGTTTTTTATTCTTTTTTTCACGTACCTATTTATTGAGCCAAAAAGTATGTAATTTCTTAAGTGAGTCTACAACCAGTGCCATTAGAAAATTTTAAGATTTTACATTTAATTGTAATTTGTGCAAAACCTCATCTTTTTAGTGGTGATATTTCAGTGTATTGGTTGGCTACCCTGTGTTTCTCTTGCCCGTCTTTACTTTCTGCATTGTGCCATTTCACTTGCTTTCTGGAACTTCTATCAGTGCAATGAAAGAAGAAATAAAACAAGATGACTTTTAAAAATTGTTATGTAAAAGACAAAACTAGGACAGTTTTAATTACCTAATCTTTCTGGAATATTAAAAATTTTTTCAATATATAAAAATAATATTAGTTTGGAAAATCTAAAGTAAAATTTCTCAGTCCCTTTCTTCCCATTTCCATTCCCCAAATATAACCTCTGTTCTTATATAACCTTTCAGGGATATTTCATGCATATATGAGTGCTATTTATTTATTATTATTATTATTTGAGTCAGGGTTTCACTCTGTTGCCCAGACTGGAGTGCAGTGGCACAGTCATGGCTCACCACAGCCTTAACCTCCTGGGCTCAGAAGATCCTTCCACCTCAGCTTCCCAAATAGCTGAGACAACAGGTGTGTGCCACCATGCCTGACTTGTTTTTTGAGTTTTTGTGGAGATGAGGTCTCTGTGTTGCCCAGGCTTGTCTCAAACTCCTAGACTCGAGTGTTTCTCCCACCTCCGCATCCCAAACTGCTGGGATTACAGGCATAAGCCACTGCAACCCAACCCACTTATTTATTTTTGAGTTGGTGTCTCACTCTATCACCCAGGTTAGAGTATGGTGGCACAATCTTGGCTCACCACAGCCTCAAACTCCTGGTCTCAGGAGATCCTTCCATCTCAGCTTTCTGAGTAGCTGGGATCACAGGTGCTCACGATCATATCCAGCTAATTTTTTGATTTTTTGAAAGACGAGGTCTTACTGTGTTGCCCATGCTGGTCTCGAACTTCTGGGCTCAAGTGATTCTCCCACCTCGGCCTCCCAAGTCCTGGGATTACAGCCATGAGCCACCACGCCCAAACAGAATGCTCTTTATTTTGAATAGAAGTGAGTTGTTATGCATATTTGCTCCTCAGTGTATTTCCTTTACTTAAAGTAGCTTTCTGTATCAATACCTACAGGTTTATATGATTCTTTTTTTGACAATAAAAATTTTAACAAGCTGTTTTCCTTACTTTTTCCACTTAATGCCTCTTAAAGATAGTTTCATATCAGCATAATTTTTTTCTTAATGAGAATATATTATTCTTTAGTGCATTAGTATACATTTTAAAAATCATTTTCCTATAGATGGACATTTAGGTTGTTAGATTTTTGCTACTATAGACAGCTATATGATGAACATTCTTATCCAAGTATATTTTTGTGTACTTTGAGTAGATCTGCAATGTAAATTATGAATCATGAAATGATGGAGTAAAGAACACATGCATTTAAATTATGATATATATTATCATTATCATATTGCCTACCTGAAAAGATTTTACTAATTTACGTTCTCAGTGACAAATGATGAACTTTAAAGAGCTTCCTTGTTTATCCTTGATGGTGTCAAAACTTGAAAAATTATTAAAAGCAGTTTTTAAAAAGTCATCAAAGATTACTTTGTGTTGTGAAATAGGTGAGCTCTATGAGTTGGGGTTTTTTTTTAACATATATATTGTGCTCAGTTCTGCCATTTGCAAGTGGCACTTTTCAAAAATACAACTCCTGTATTTAACAGAAAATTATACAGGAATGTTTAAGGGACTAAAAACTTTCTTTTTTCCACATAAGAAAGAAGTTTACTGTAACCCACCCTGTAATACAATTCCTCTTGGCAATTCTTAGGTCTGGTAGCATTTTTAGTGTCCCAAATGTGATGGTCTCTTGCAAACAAAATTTGTGTGTGTGTGTGTGTGTGTACATATGTTTGTTTGTTTGGAGGTAGGAGTCTTGCTGTGTTGCTCAGGTTAGATTTGAACTTCTGGGCTCAAGCATTCCTCCCACCTCAGCATCCTGAGAATCTGGGACTACAGGCGTGCATTACTGTGCCTAGCTTATAATATTATATTTTCAATGAAGTGTAGGATCTTGTCTTTGTGAACTGGCTAGATCCTATTTCATTTGCAAATTGGGTTCAGAGCTACTATCTTAGTGATGCCAGAATGGTTTCTTAGTGATGTCAGAATGGAGACAAACTACACATACTATAGATGAGTTTTTGGCTGGTAAAGCAGGAAGAAGACTGCCCCATGTAGGGTGATCTTAAAAACATCTGCTCTAGTTGCATAGGAATGAATAAAGGAAAATAAGAATCACCACTTCATTGTTTTTGTTGGTAGGAAATTCTGTCTTTGACTTATATTATTTCACTTTAAAATATTTTTAAAATTTTCTTTCCCAAACTATAACTTTTAGTGTTATGAGCTCCCGAAGGACCTGAAGTTTAAAAAACATGAAATTCCTAGCTGGATTTGGCTAATTTACTTATGCCCTCCCCTTCTATAATTTAACTTAAGTAAAAGATAAGATTCTCTTTATTCTTTGTGCTTTTGGGAAATATCTTTTGATTTTTAGCAACAGTTTACTATGCCTTGACACAGCTTTTCTACATAGAGTATTTGTAGACTTCTCAAAACCTCCCCTAATGTGCTTATGATCAGATAATAAGAACTGTACTGAAATTGTATCATTTTCATTATCTGCATTTGATATCTATAGTTTACCAACGATGACACCGTGAGCATTGTGTCTTCTGATCGTGCCAGTCGTGGGCGAAGGGAGAGTGTGGTGAGCGTGGTTTGCATGCAAACAAATATGATGAGTTTTAAAATGACAACATGTGATCATGTGAAACCTATTGGAAAGTGAAATTTTCATTTGACAAAATGCACATTTTCCTCAAATTTAGTTTATATTAGCAATTTGCCTTATAAAATGTGTTCTTGAGAATACATACTCTCTAATGGGCTATGCGTACTTTCATTAATAACTTGCTTCTTCACATCTCTTACACATTGGCAATTATTTGAAAGGTTTTTACTTTTTATTCTTTGTTATTGTTTGATGCATATGCATTTGTGTATACAGTTCACCAAAAATAAGTTTCTCAAGCAAAACTATTGCTTTCACGTTGTATAAACCTTGTAACTATGGTTTACACATCATGTTACCCTCAGTTGCTTTCTTTATTGTATTTGGGTTTAACCAGTGTTTATCCACCTATTAAGATCTGTAAACCAAGCATGGTGGTGTGTGCCTATAATCCTGGCTATTTGGGAGGCTGAGGTGAGAGGATCACTTGAGCATTCCAGCCTGGGTGACAGAGCGAGACCTCATCTCAAAAGAAGAAAAGAAAAGACCTGTGAATTTATTAAGAGTTGCTGATGGCAAAAGTTAAAAATTCTAATCTTAAACCAGGCTCGGTGGCTCAGCCTATAATCCCGCACCTTTGGGAGGCTGAGGTGAGTGGATTGCCTGAGCCCGCGGGTTCGAGACCTGCCTGGGCAACTTGGCAAGACCTCATCTCTACAATAAATCAAAAATTAGCCCGGTGTGGTAGCGCGCGCCTGTAGTTCCAGCTACTTGGAAGGCTGAGGCGGAAGGATCGCCGGAGCGCGCTGAGGCGGAAGGATGCCGCAGCCCAGATTGAGGCTGCGGTGGCCGGGAGTGGCCACTGCACTCCAGTCTGGGTGACAGAGTGAGACTCCAACACAAAAAAAAAAAAAAAAAAAATTCTAATCTTAGACATTTAACTAAAAAATTGTAGGGACAACAAATAGTTGTATTAGAATACAAATGATATAATTTCAAGTTATTCTTTTATGAACCCAGAAATAGTATAGAAAACTGCTGACATTTTGTTATATTTAAGGAATTGATTTGAAAATTATATTGTTGAGGATGGTATGTCAGAATAGAGCTAGAATAAAGAAGGAAGAGCTCTAAGTGACTGTAATTCCTTTAAGAAAACTAGAGAGCCATTTAATACTAGTCATGTCAGAATAGAGCTAGAATAAAGAAGGAAGAGCTCTAAGTGACTGTAATTCCTTTAAGAAAACTAGAGAGCCATTTAATACTAGTCATGTTATGTGAAAGATTATAAACCCAAGTTTTCATACGAAAGGGAACACCAAATGTTTGTGAGGTTTATTGCCAAAAATTCATTTATCTAATTAAAGCAATTGTGGTTCCTTAGCAAACCAATTAATGCTCGCCATCACAGCTAAAGGAGAAAGAATAAGCCATAGCACCCGGAAGCAACTTAGGAGTGGAGTGGAAAGGGCAGGGACTTAAAAATAATGATGCTTGGGCTTGCATCCACTTCTATAGCCTGTTTGTTGTGCGAATGACTGTTTCTTTATTTGTATAATGTTAATGGCTATCTTTGTAGATAAGCTTAATATTTGGATTAAGTGAATTACTATATAGAAAATGCCTGTCATAATTTTGAGACAGTAGGTACCAATAAATATTAGTATGTATAAATCCATTTTTATTAGCCCTTAGCAAAACTTTGTAGGCCTGTTTGTGGATGGGCTTCCAAATTCCTTTCTTTTATGGCAAGAGTTTTAAAGCAAGGTAAAAGCTGAGATAAGAAATGGCTGGTGAATGAGGTAAAAAATAAAAAATTCAGTTATTAATTTAATAACTGCTTATGGAGTGCCTATTATATTTGAGGCACTGCGTTAAGGGATAAGGATAATGTGGTAAGTCAGATAGACCAGATTCTGACTTTATGGAACTTATATCCCAGTAAGATAGAAAATAAGCTAGTAAAGAAAGGAACAAAAAGAAATTCCAGGGACTGTGAAGAGAAAAAGTAGGGAATGTGATAGGGAACATTTGAAGGGTGGGTATGTGTCTGGGTGACCTTTTGGATGGGGTAGTTAGAAGTGCTTCTCTGAGGAATTGAGCTTTGAGCTGAGACCTGTTTGGAAACTGGGCAAAGAGGTCAGTAAGCAAATAATTCTGCATTCAACATATACCTAACAGCGTTGATATCTACAATGAATGATAACTCTTGTGAAACAGAGTAGGGACTTTAGTTAGACACTATCCTAGAAACCCCCCTGTTGAGGGTGATGAATGTTTTAAACAGATTGGCTGGTCCTCAAGCAGTAAATGTTCTCTGTAGTATAGAACTCTAGTTAAGACGAATAAAAATCTTAATTTAGAGAGCTGTGATTTCATTTAGAAATTTCTTTTCTTTTTTACTTTTTTGAATTAGTTAATTGCACCAGTTTCTTTATTTCATTTCATACTTTATCACATACCAAAAAAATTTTATAAAAACTTTCCCCCATCAGCCAATGTTCTTATATTTTTCTCCTCTCTTTTCTTAACTTTTAAAGCATCTTATTTTTTCTGACTGAAAGGTTTCTGCTGCTGATTATTTTAGTCGCTCCAATCATAGGGGAAGTGTTGTCTCTGAGGTGGATGACATCAGTATCCCAGATTTGACCAGCGTGAGTGTATTGCATGGAGTGGTTATGTGTCTCAGACTTGTGACTAACTGCTAATATGCTAGTTGTTGTAAAAGTGGGAACTTGATTTACTATCAAGGAAATATTTATTTGAAAATGTAGTTTCAAGATTTATTCATAAAATGTAGTTATTTGTTTAAAAAAAGCAAAAACTTTTCTCCTGTGAAGATTTCTCCCTGTAGGACTCATCAGCCAGCATCTGCAATAATTGTCAATATTTTACCAATTTTGTTTCACTGATTTCTTCCTTTTCCCTCATTTTTTTCTGAATTATTTTAAATTCTCGTGTTGTTTCTCAATAAATAGTTCACTATGTATCTCTGAGAATTTTTTTCAGATCTATTATGTCATCATACCTAATGAAATAAAAAAGTATTTCCTCAGTCTCATCTAATACCCATTCCTTATTCAGACACTTCTGATCAGTTAAAAAAAATTCTTTATCCTTTTGTTTTTAGGGAATCTATGAGGTTATAAATAGACTTTGAAAACTGAATAATAAAATTTACTACTTAGTAAAGTGTCACTAATTTGTAGTGACTGGGAAGAATCTGAATAGATTTTAAACATTTGGATTACAAATGACATTGTTTTGAAGAAGTGTTTCTACCCATTGCTTACACATTCACCAGGAACTGAATTTAGGAAAGATTTTTCAGTAGAGGTTCCTTGGAGCATTTGTCTTAATGAACTCCAGCCAGTACATTAGGATCTACCTGCTGTTCTAAAAGAAAGAGCCTGATTTTCTTTCTGTGATACCGCCCTCCATTCTGACACTAATGTTTCGCCGGTGGACCAAGGCTCCCTTGCTTGTCAAGCCCTTTGGAGAAAATGAGAGGCAGCATTTCTTTCTCTCTTTCTTTTTTTTACATGAAAGACATTTATTGTTACTACTTTACTCCATACCACATGAGTGAATGCACCAGGCTGTACTCTTTCAACAGCAAGTGGGTGCCTTCGCTCTGACTCCCAAGACACTCAGGATCATCTGTCCTTTGGAGGGTTCAGTTTCATACGACGTCTGTGATACTCTTGTGTGTTCATACGGAATGTCCACAGAAAGTTGGTAGCACACAATCGTCCTGCCGTCCCACATCAGCGCAAGCTCGACTTTGCAATTATAGTCATCTGGTAGAGAAGAATACGGAGACTTATTACAAACACAATATAAAGCTCCATTTGGGGTTGGAAATAAATGCTTTAAGATAGGCCTCTGCCATCACCCACTTTACTGCTGCTCTAGCCATGGTGGATCAGGTGATGAGAAAAAAGATGTCCTGAAGAGAAGTCGCTCTTATGTTCTGCTTCAAGTCATAGCAATGTCCATCCCTCGACCGGGCCTCACCGCCAGCCCACCATCTTGCTTCCATCCGGGTCCTGCCAGCATTTCTTAATAGACGCATTAGGCATTAGTTTTTTAATGAAGAGATAATTATTTACAATTAGCACTTCACTGGTATTTAAATAGCCATTTCTGAACTATTTTAATCCTAGAAGATAATTTTAAGTGTGGTCCTTCAGTATTCCAGAACATTGGTTCTCAAATCTGACTGTGCAACAGTAATCTTGCTATGGGTTGAATCAAGGACTCCACATAAAAAGAAGTCTGACTCCCAAGTCATCCCCCTGAAATGTTGACTTTTTAAAATAAATTTACTTAGTAGCCTGTTTTTTCCATAGGTATAGACAGTTAAATTTATTGTGGACATCTGTTATCTTAAAAAATTTGAGTTCTGTCAACCTCGTATGTATTTTATTTTGTTTGTTGGAATCTCACTCTGTTGTGTAGGCTGGAGTGCAGTGGCACCATCACAGCTCACTGCGGCCTTGACCTACTGGGCTCAGATGATCCTTCTACCTCAGCCTCTAGAGTAGCTGGGACTACAGGTGCACGCTACCATACCTGGCTAATTTTTTGAGTTTTTGTAGAAACAAGGTGTCATTAGTTTGCCTAGGCTGATCTTGAACTTGTGGAATCAAGCAATCCTCCCACCTCGGCCTCCCAAAGTGCTGGGATTACAGGCATTTGCCAACATGCCTACCCTCATTTTTTTATTTGTAATGTCTGAATTAATGGTTATGTTCTTATATTTATTTCTTGGTGACTTACTTTAGTAACTACACCGAAGTGAAAGGTTGACAGTTTTTAAAGTTTCCCCCTGCCTCTGCTAATTAAATATAACTCTTTAACATAAACAGAAGATTCTCTAGAGCAGGGGTTTGCAAATCCAGCTAACTCCCTGTTATTTTACAGCCTGTGAACCACTGGTTTTTATATTTTTAAATGGTTATATAGGTATCTATTTAGAACCTCTAATTTTGCCTCTTGGTAAAGCCTAAAATATTTGCTGAGCTTCTCTCTAGAGCAAATAACTTTCTCTGATAGTCTTTCTTTCTTTCTTTTTTGAGTTGGAGTCTCACTCTATCACCCAGGCTGGAGTACAGTGGCACGCTCACGGCCATTGCAGCCTTGACCTGCTGAGCTCAGCTTTTCAAGCAGCTGGAACTACAGACACGTGCCACCATGTCTGGCTAATTTTTTGATTTATTGTAGAGATGCGGTCTCACCAAGTTGCCCAGGCTGGTCTCGAGCCTGGGGGCTCAGGTAATCATCTCACCTTGGCCTCCCAAAGTGCTGGGAGCCACTGTGCCCATCCTAATCGTATTTCTTTTAAAGGGTATTTCAGTTTATTTTGTAGACAAATAGAGAACTTGATATTGATAGATACTCTCTTCCTCTTCCACTTTTTTAAAAAAAGATGAGCTAGAAATCTGCATTTTCAAGTAAACATTTCTGATTTTAAAATGCTGACAATAAATTTAGAACTTTAAAGGACATATTTTGGCTACCCCGTTGTGGACCAGGTTTTGGCAAGCTTGTTGTCTAAATAGAAGACAACACATAATATAGCACAAGTCTCAGAAATGAGAACTGAAGAGTCTCTGGCCAAGTCACTGCAGTCAAAATAAGTGGACTGCTGCATGGCTCCTCTGGACAGTTTTTGCTGGGTTAGCAAACCTTGAGGTTTGGCTCATGATCAGTTTGGGTTGAGACAATTGGGAGCTATCAGAAGATAGTGAAAGCAATAGAGCCAACATTGCAGCGGACTAGTTCAGTGATGCAGCCTGTGAAATGTAAGATTATTCCAAAATGATGTGCTGTTACTAAATGGGTGGATTTTAGGGTCATTTTTCTGAGAAGTAGGTATGAGGATTTCCAATAAATTTAGAATATTTTATTATTGAATGCTTCTTGGTTTTCTCTTTAACTCATTAGCAGAAAAGTATCAGAAAATATTCTGAAGAAAATAAGGCAGTTTATTCAGGTATAATATTTCATCTTGAAGAATAACACATATTAGTGCGTTTTAGTAGTACAGATGTGATGTAGGGTTATTCCTTTTTATGACAATAATTGGCAGTACAGAATTTTAAAAATTTCAATGTCATTTCCTGTTTGTTTTAAAACATTTTAAGTATTTTAAAACATTCAAAAACATGTTTTAAAAATATAAATGAACTAAAATAGTTTCTTTTTGAAAGTTAACAGCAAGAGTAGCAAAAAGTTATCTAAAATAGTGTTTTTATTACTGATATAGTGCTTATAATACAAGGTCATAAATATGATGAATGTGAGTAATAAAAAGAACACTAAAAACTTTCAAATATGAGGAAGTAAGGATGAAGTGATCTGAATAGAGCCAGAAATAATTATGTTTTGTGTTTTAATAATTAACTGAGGAAGATTTTCAGGTCTCTTTCTAGATTGGGTTGAGAAGGTTGGTGTAAGAGTTGGAGTCTGGGTATGTTTTCATTTAGTTAAATCCCTATGTGACTTTTTTCTTCTTCTGGTAATTGGGATAGAATATATATGCAGGTAAATAATATGAACATTGGAATGAAAATCCACAAAACTAAGATTTGGACTCAGCTCTACAACCTTCAGCAAAATCTTTCACCTCTGAATTTCTTCTTTCTTAGCTATAAAGTCAGAGTTTTGGACTAGACTTTTAAGGTACCTCCTTTCTTGAAAAACTATCTGAAACAACCTTAAAGTCTATCAGCAAAAAATAGGTTAATAGAAAAGAGTTATGGTAAGTTGAGATATTAAGCTACAATGAAGCTGTTAAAATAAATGTAGTAAGTCTATCAGTACAGATGGGGTATGATTCATTAATCATTCATCCAACAAATTTTGAATCCGTCTATATGTCAGGCACTATTCTTAGTACTAGGAATACAGAAAAGAACATACATACATAGAGCTTACATTATCAAAAGAGAGCAGACAATAAATAAATGGATAAATATCATAGTGTCAGGGAATGGTAAATGCTTTGCAGAAAAATGAAGCACTTTCTCAGATCTCTGAGACTTGGTAAAGGGTAAAAGAAGATGTAGAATGTGGCCGGGCACAATGACTCAAGCCTATAATCCCAGCACTTTGGGAGACCGAGATGAGGGGATTGCTGAGCCCATGGGTTCAAGAACAGCCTGGGCAACTTGGTGAGACCTCATCACTGCAATAAATCAAAAAATTAGCTGGGTGTGGTAGCACACACCTATAGTTCCAGCCACTTGAAAGGCTGGGGCAGAAGGATTGCCTAAGCCCAGCAGATCGACACTGGGGTGGCCGTGAGCATGCCATTGCACTCCAACTCCAAAAAAAAAAAAAAAAAGTATGTAGAATATATGTTAGAATTTTTGAAAGACAGGAGTTAGTTTTCATTGGAGATTGGTCATCAGAGTATGGCATGGTAGGGAAAGAGGCCTACTTCTCACACCCTTTTGGGTTGTTTGAATTTTTTTTTGACATGTGTGCATGTATTACTTAAGACAAAAAGCAAAACATCCTTAGTGATGTTGGGTAAAATATTTTGATGATATATTTAGCATGCTTTAGTCCAATCTGACCCTTTTTGGTGAAATGTACTAGTCTTATCTATGTGGTCTGTGTCATAATAATGTTTAAAAATAAAACTTTTTGGCTTTTGGCTTTACCAGACTTTTGATACCTGCAAACTTTTTTATATTAACATTTCAGTGCTAAAATTTTAATTTGTGTGTAACCTTCTTTAATGTGTTTTAAATACCATGAAAAAAATGTATCTAAAGGTTCTAAATTTTTGAGTAAACAGTTTGCTTACTTCGTGTTTTCCTTAGGGTAAGAATTAAAGTTCTTAACATATTTCTTATGTGAAACTAAAAATTTTATTTCAGTTTCAGTATGTTTATTTTTAGGTTTCAAACATCATTGAACTTGGAAAACTCAGATAAGATTACTTATTTTTTTTCCCTTAAAAAACAACATGCTAAGCATCTTTTCTGATCTTTATCTCTGTTCTTTTCTAGTTGGATGAAAAATCTGACAAACAGTATGCTGAAAATTACACAAGGGTGAGTATGTAAATATGTAAGGGAATTAAGTTCTCAAGGTCAGTTAAACTTACTTACTATTACTTGTTCGTTTTTTATTTTACAACAGTTCGTCTAATGGAGCTGCTCTTCCTCCCTTAATCTATTTCCTGTCCTTGACCCTCTAAAATTCCTCCGAAGTTAAATCATGTGAAGCCCTGGGAAGAGAAAAGACATAGCATTTTATTCCTTGAATGTCACCTCTTAAGCTTTTGGCTGCTCTGGATTTTTATTCCTTTAGAAATTGATCCTAAGAAGAAGTCATTAAACAATGAAAATGAGGTGTCTTTAGGAATGGTGGTGACAAACTGTGAGAACTGTTTTTTTTCTTTTATAGATAATTATTTCTTGAAATAAAACCACTTTTTTCTAGCAGTTGCTTTGTGTTAATTTCTCTCTTCTAAAAGTTTTGTTAGAAAGTTCATTAGGAAAATGATTTATCAGGATTGATTTTTATGCAGTTTTACCTAAGATAAGTCAACTCTGTCCAATAGAAATGTAATGCAAGCCACAAATGTAAGCATATATGTAAGTTTAAATTTTCTGGTAACCACATTTAAAAAATAAAAAGAAACAGGTAAAATTACTTTAATATATTCTATTGAACCCAGATGTCCAAAATATTTCAACATATACTCAATATAAGAATAATTAATGAGATATATTTTATTCTTTTTTCTATACTAAACCTTCAAAATCTGGTATGTATTTGATGCTCAAATCTCAATTTGGACTAACTACATTTCAAATGCTTAATAGCTACATGTACCTAATGGCTAGTATGTTGGACAGCACAGATCCATGCTGTTGATGAACCAGTAGCATAATCTCAGATTTAAACTAATTTTGGGAAGAGCAGTCTAAACTTATAGTGATATATAGTGTTGCTGCTCTCAGATGTGAATGGTAGCTTCATCTTCTCAACAAAGTATTAGAAAAAGAAGAGATTCTTAAGAAGCAGTCTCAGGAACTAAATAGGGGAAGTGCTAATTAGCATACCAGTTATAAAATTCTAAAACTGCTTTAAATTAATCTGATGTGCTCACCTCAGTCATGTTTATAGTATAGTAAAAATAAACTTGGAAAGTAAACAAACTCCCATTAAAAACAAGTTCCTTGATTGTTGATATGAGTTCTAGATTCTGATAAGATGTTTGAGTTAATGAAATTACGCTTGGTATACCTGGGCTTTTCTCCAAATGCCTCCTCCCCTAAAGCCAATCTAAATTGCCCATTGATTGCATATGAAGCCCACATCTGCCCCCACCATCCTGTCCCATTTTTAGCTTCCACAGCAAACATATTCTTAAAGAAACAAGACTTAGAGGTATCATATTTCTTTCTCTCTAGCCTTCATCTCGAAATTCTGCCTCTGCAACTACCCCTCTTAGTGGAAACTCATCCAGACGAGGAAGTGGGGACACCAGCAGCTTAATAGATCCAGACACTTCCTTAAGTGAATTGCGGGTAAACTGCAGTTTGGTTTTCTTTTTAAAAGCAGTCTTTTGGCTTCTTGGTAGTATATACTGGTACTTTTAAAATTTAATATGACTTAGTAGAAAGAAGGAATATGAGTTCTTTTAAAAATATTAATACGGTTTAAAATGTGACTCAGATGTTTCAGAGCCTGAAAGGAAGATTAGTTAATTCTAATTAGTTAATTTCTTTTCTCGTTCCTGAAAATTTGATGGTATTGGAACAAGTTCTGCTAATATACAAATGCCAAAAAAACCTTTTTAATGTATGTAAAGGTAATTATCTCAGAAATAGTTGGCCATATTTTAAATGGAAAATATGTGGATATACAAAGGACCAGATTCAGAATTATTAGTTTTTTGAACCAATATGATGTTATTTGGCTGTTTAAGTATAGTTAAGCAGTTTTTCATAATAGAAATATAATAATATTTGGGTAACAGAAATACCTGAGATAATGGAAAGCTTATTTGACCAATTAATTGAGTCTCCTTCCTTATATTAACCCTTTTATTTAGAAGATGAGAACATTAAAAATGTATTTGGTTATTTATTTGCCAAACCTAGTATTTATGAAAAATGGAGGAAGGGCCCTAGGAGAATTGCAGTCATTCAGTGAGCACTGGGCCTTGGAGATTTAGGCAGCAAAACATATTCTGACTTTAAGAAGGTCACTGTCTTATAGAGAAGACAAACCGATAGAAACCAGTAAAACCCAGTGGTACGGTACTATGGTAACAGCAAGAATGGGGTTGTTAAGGTAATTCAGAAAAGCATCATTTCACTTGGGCTGGGAGAAAAGATAACAAAAGGCTTTTGAAAGAAGACAAACTGAGCTAAGGTTTGAAGGAAGAATGAAAATAACCAGGCAAAGAAATCAGTGGGGAAAATCTTTCTCAGAGGGATGCATTTAAAGAACCAGAACTTTATCTGTGTAGCAAAGTTGCCAGAGGGTAGGGTGAGAAGTGAGGAGTGGTGGTGGATGAGAGAGAAGGCTGAAGTTTTTGAAGAGGTGGAGTTTTGCTATGTTGCCCATGCTGGTCTCACACTCCTTGCCTTACACAGTCCTCCTGCCTTGGCCTCCCAAAGTATTGGGATTACAGGTATAAGCCACTATGCCCAGCCTGATAGCATTCTTTTTTTTTTTTTTGGAGTTGAGCTTTCATTCTGTCACCCAGGCTAGAGTGCAGTGGCATGATCACAATGACTCACTATAGCCTTCAACTCCTGGGCTCAGGCAATCCTTCTGCCTCAGTCTCCCAAGTATTTGGGACTGTAGGTGTATGCCATCATGCCTGGATAATTTTTTGATTTTTTTTTTTTTTGAGTTGGAGTCTCAACTCTGTCGCCCAGACTGGAATGCAGTGGCCGCTCCCAGCCACTGCAGCCTCAACCTGCTGTTTTTTTTTTTAGACAGAGATGAGGTCTTATTATGCTGCCCAGACTGATCTTGAATTCCTACCCTCAAGCAATCTTCCAGCCTTGGCATTCCAAAGTACTGGGATTACAGGAATGAACCACTGAGCCTAGCCATGATTATATTCTTAAAGATAACTTTAAGAGGTAGCATCGGAAGCTGGTAACCCTGTGGTTGAACAATGAGCATGAGGTGAGTAAGTCAAAACTGTGAGGAGAGAAAAATGTAAGAAACTAACTCTGAAGAAAATATGAGAGACAGTGTTAGTTGGGCAATAGGTAGGGAGGCAGAGATAGAAGTTGAAGAGATTTTTGCTTTCTATTAAAAGTAGGATTGATTATTATTTTCATTGGTTGGATTGAGCCAGTAGAGAGAGAGTTAAAGGTTGAGGAAGGATAGGGGATAACTGACAGAGTAGAGCCTGAGTTGGTGAGAGGAGAGTCCAGGGCTCAGATCGATGGACTAGCCTAGACTGAAGGTCCCCTCCCACTGACGTAGTACAGGAGGTAGGGACAGGTGGTAACTGAGTAAGATTATAGTTGAAGTAGGAAGAGAGGAGTCAGGCTTGTGAAATGGATTGCAGGTGAAAGTGGGCTGGGAGTTAAGGAAGGATAGGGAGGTTTGGAACAGTGACAGAGATGGAGAGCATGGCCATGGCTTTTTTTTTCCTTTCTTTGAGTCGGAGTCTCACTCTGTCGCTCACGCTGGGGTGCAGTGGCACACTCAGGGCCACCCCAGCATTGACCTGCTGGGCTCAGGCGATCCTTCCAAGTAGCCGGAACTATAGGCATGCGCTACCATGCCTGGCTAATTTTTAAATTTTTATTGTAGAGATAAGGTCTCACCAAGTTGCCCAGGCTGTTCTCGAACTCATGGGCTCAGGTAATCCCCTCACCTCAGCTTCCCAAAGTGCTGGAATTTCAGGCTTGAGTCATTGCACCCGGCCAACCATTACTTTTAAGGTGTCAGTATTTATTGAGCTCTTACTGTGTACCAGGCATAAGTGTCAGGGTGGAAAGTTGAATAAGATAAACTCTTGTCTTTACATGATACGATCTAGCAGGACAAAAGAATACAAGGACATGGCCTTCCAGCTTTAGACTTTAGCTTGCTCTTGTCACACTACTTGTTGCTTGTTTTTCTTCCTTGAGAGGATGATCCCCTTAAAGGAAATGACATATTTTTGTATCCCAGCATCTGGCTCCTAGTAGGTCCCCAGTAAATGTCTGTTGAAGAATTAATGAGTAAAAGACAGGAACCTACCGGGGAGGGAATGATGGGGACAGGGAAAGTATAATACCAAAAATGTATATAATTCATCCTGGCTATAATCAAAGACTTGTTTTTGTTTTGAGTCAGGGTCTCTCATTTTGTTGCACAGACTGGAGTACAGTGGCACCATGATGGCTCAACCACAGCCTTGCCCTCCTGGCTCAGCTGATCTTTCTGCCTGAGCTTCCCAAAGTGCTGGGACTACAGGCGTGTGCCACTGTAGAGATGAGGTCTTGGTATGTTGCCCAGGGTGGTCTTGAACTTCTGGATTCAAGCAATCCTCCCACCTCGGCCTCCCAAAGTGCTGGGATTATGGCATGAACTATGGCACCCGTCCCAGACTTGTATTTAGGGCTCTCTGGCAGTTATTTCCCACCTAAATCAAGCATCCAGAAATGACCTTATGTAATGGGATCAGGCACAAAGGAAACAATATTTTCCATTTAAAATTTGACCTGTTTCATTTTTCTTATAAGGTTTACGGTAACATTTGGAGCAAAAATTTCTCATCATTTAAATGGTATCCTCAGGATGGACTGTCTCATTTGACATTGTGTTCAAAGTTTGTGTTTAACTTCTCCTTCCCTTTATTCCCTTTCTCCCTAGTTAATTGTGATTGGTAACCAAGTCATTGAGAGATAACTGTGTTCATATCCATTTATTATATTTTTAAAACTTTTGCCTGTGTCAGTAAAATTTGCTGCCTGTATTAATTTACTAGTTCTAAGTGAAGCATATACTAAAATTTATTTAAGAATGATTTATAAAATTTAAACAATTGTGTGCTTAAAACGTTTTAATTTATATAGCTTTTTTCCATATACAATCCTGCCCGCATTTGCTGTGATGTTTTCAGCAGAGTTTAATGCCAAGAAAATATTTAACACAGATTGATTACTCTAGATGTTCCCTCAGTCCCACTGTCATCTGACCTGTTGACCTGTTTGGAGTAGGAGTTATGTTTTTTTGTACTTTAATTTCTCTGCTTTTAGTCTGGAATATACAAAAGCAAGTCATATTTCATTGGAATCCTTTGACACTTACAATATGTTTATGCATGGTTTTATGCAATGGTTCATTCCTATGTCCTACAGGATATCTATGACCTTAAGGACCAGATACAGGATGTAGAAGGGAGATACATGCAGGGGCTTAAAGAACTAAAGGTATCAGGTCCCATTCTGCAGCCCAAGCATGCTCTGTATGCAGAAGTGTTGGTAATGGTGGTTTCACAAGTTCTATTAACCCATTGCACATAGCTTTACTAACAGTGTTTGTCCTTCAAGCATGTGCTTAACTTGCAATGTATAGGAAAGGTGAACTTTCAATCTCTGCTTATGTTTAAATGTTTATTATAGTTTTTTGGAGTATTTAGCAGAAGATATTATACTTTATGGTTTTTAAACCTTGTAAAATACTTGCATGTCTCTATGTCTTAGCCATACAAAATTAAATTGGGAAAACATCTAAAAAAAATAAGTATTTTTATTGAGAATTGGACCTCAAAATTCTTCTAAGCTAAATGAAAAAGTGTTGCCTCTTTATGTCACCAAACTTAGTGAGTATTAAATTCAGGATGAAGAAGCAACTCAGCATTATTAAAAATATCTCTACTGGAGGGAGAAACCTGAAGGCATGAGGCCTGTATTTTCTTTTTGTGTAGTTTTTTTTTTTTTTTTAAATCTATAAGGCAAAAAGGGATTATACAGACTTAGTACTTTAGATAATTTGAAGGTAAATTTAAATGGGCTTTATTTTTCCCAGAATGAATGACTAACATTTGTCAGTGTAAATGTATGAGGCAGATGGTTTGATTATAAATAGCACTTGGTTATAATGCTCTTTTCCTCATGTTTCATTGTAAAATTCAAGCCTCATATTAGGACGAAAACAAAGTTTCTCTGAACACACGTGTGTCCCGATTTGAAATAGAAATACTATGGCTCTAAAAAAGCAAAAGCAAGACATTTGGAATGGTGACTCAAGACGTACCCAAAGCACAAAGCATGGACCTCGTGGGCAAGGCTTTCATCATCCTCCCTGGCTTGATTTGAAGTAGCCCAGCTACTGGCCAAAACCTTCATGCTGGTGGTGTGATATATAAGGCTCTCACAGTTAAGACTCAGGACCAAAAAGGGTAGGAAGTCCTGTGGGAAGTTCCCATGTGGGAAGCCTGGGAGCTGCTGATAGGGCAGTCTAGGATTGTTAGTGAATATCCGAAAAGTTACAGAGTTAGTTGGTATACTCGTTTTGTCTTACTACTTTAATCTTCAGGATTTAATCCCTCTTTTAACATATTAGAGATGACTTTTGGGAAATCTTGGATCAAACAAATCCAGTATATTAATTAATATGCTCATATTAAGTTTCATATGTAACAATGTGTCAAGAAAGTAATCAAGTGATTCAGAGGCATGCTTACTGGCTTTTTATTTTATTTAAAACTTTTTTTCTTACATTTTAGATCTACCATTTATTGCATTCTTTGAAGAATACAAAAGAACAGACTAGATTTGGGATGTGAACAGATAAGATCTCTTTTCTTAATTCATGTCAGTATATAACTGAACATGACGCCAGATTGCGTTTGTCCTTGAAATGACTATTTTAAGTGGGAGAAAAATCTATTAAAAAGTCTGATTGATGATCAAGCACAATGGGTGCCTTATTGAAGAGATGTTGGTTCATTGCTTGTGACATTATTCTTGATTACTGTGTTTGCCTTTTGAGTGCTCTTACCCTCTCTTCGCTCCATCCTCTCTTTAATCAGGAAAGTTAATCATTTATTACTATTACAGTGTTTGCCCATGTTACACTACTGTACAGTGTGTACTGTTATCCAGAAAATGCAGTAAAATATTATTATAAAACTTAAATGATCTAAAAGATCTTTAATTATTTTATAAATTAAAGGACTACATTTTTTTTTTTTTTTTGAGTCGGAGTTTCACTGTTACCCAGACTGGAGTATAGTGGCACAATCATGATTACGGCAGCCTCAAACTACTGGTCTCAGGTGATCCTTCTGCCTCAGCCTTCCAAGTAGCTGGAACTACAGGCATACACCACCATGCCTGGTTAATTTTTTTATTTTTATTTTTTTGAGTTGGAGTCTCACTCTGTCGCCCAGGCTGGAGTGCAGTGGCACGCTCACAGCCGCTCCAGCATCGACCTGCTGGGCTCCAGTGATCCTTCCACCTCAGCCTTCCAAGTAGCCAGAACTACTGGTGCGTATTACCACACCTGGCTCATTTTTTTTTTTTTTTTTTTTTTTTTTTTTTTGAGTTGGAGTCTCACTCTGTCGCTCAGACTGGAGTGCAGTGGCCACTCCCGGCCACTGCAGCCTCGACCTGCTGGGCTCCGGCGATCTTTCTGCCTCAGCCTTCCGAGTAGCCGGAATTACAGGCATGCGCTGCCACGCCCAGCTGATTTTTTGATTTATTGTAGAGATGAGGTCTCGCTGCCTAGGCGGGTCTTGAACCCGCAGGCCCAGGCGATCCACTCACCTCAGCCTCCCAAAGGAGCAGGATTACAGGCTGAGCCACCGACCGGCTTCCTGGCTCATTTTTATTTTTATTTTTATTGTAGAGACAAGGTCTTCCCAAGTTGCCCGGGTTGGTTTTGAACCCATGGGCTCAGGCAATCTACTTGCCTCGGCCTCCCAAATTGCTGGGATTACAGGCTGACTCACCAAGCACGGCCTGTATTGCTTATTTTTACCTCCAATGGAAATCTTATGTTTTGCTTAGGTACATTTTAAAGCCACTATTATTTCAACTGTTAATATTTCAGAATTATTAAAAATATTTTTGAAAAAGATCTAGTTCACCACTTATTATCTAACCAACCTTAAATTACTTAGCTTCCCTGTCAGTTCTTTCTTCTGTAAAACAGAGATGAGAAATAACACCTATCTGATGGAGTTACTGAAAGGATTAAATGCAATAAGGCATGTAAGCAGCATGTAAATGCTTGATAAATGCTTGTTATTATCATTAGAAATTATTGCTATACCATCAGCCCAGAACTTGCCTGAATTAGTAAAGAATAAAAAACTTTAACCTTAAGAAAATTCTAGTTATATATAGCTAATAACATGTTTCATATATGAATCTTGTACTACAAAGATGTTTTGGGTTGCTGAATAGTAGATAAGGCTTTCTAGCTAACTGAGGTCTGACTTTTACACAGCCTCATAGCCCTTATTATTTGAATTTGTACCTTCCCTAAATGACAAAAATTACTGTATATTAAAATCTTTGGGTTTAAGCACACAGTCAAAATCATACATTTTAAATTCTTAAGGCTAGGGTCAACTGTATACTTCTAAAAACATAGACCATAAATTCCTCTTGAGAACTTAAGAGGCAGAACTCCTTAATACAATATACTTCCCTCAGGGTACTAGTACCAGAATGTCTGCACCCTGATTAATCAGGCCATGAGGATATTGACTACTTTAATAACCACTAGTGGCCTACATCCTCTTGATTTGGCTAAAACAGATCCAGCTTTGCTGTAGAAACAGTTTAGAATTGGCCAGGTGTGGTCGCACATGCCTATGGTTCCAGATACTTGGAAGGCTAAGGTGGAAGGATCGCCCGAACCCAGCAGGTCGAGGCCATGGCGGCCATGTGCAGGCCACTGCACTCCAGCCTGGGTGACAGTGAGACTCCAACTAAAAAAAAAACCCAAAACACACATACATACAAACTCAATTCAGGCTTCACTTTCTTGAGGCCTGAATTGATCATTTTTCACTCTCCTAAACTTGTAAAAGTACATATTGCCTTTTTGAACATTTGACATATAATGACAAATAGTTGATCATATATATTCCCTGCATGTGCCAAGCACTGTGCGAAGTGTTTTATGTTCACTCCTTCAATCTTTTCATAGGTTTGGAAATGTTGACTATTCTAATATTGTTTTATAGGTTATTAACCCAACTAGGTTTTGAGATATTGAGAACAAGAAAAATGTCTTACAAGGAGGACCAAAAAAAACTAGAATTATCTTTTGGAGGGTGGGCCCCTTATAGTACACTTGGAATTTGTTCTTCCGGATCACTCAACCAAAATTTTTATCTGGAAGTTTTGAGAAGGTTGTGTCATGATTTATGAAAGGAACGTCCGAGTTGTGGCAAACAGGTGATTTGTTCTTCCACCATGGCAATGCACCTGCCCAAACCATGCTGAGTGTTCTATAGTTTTTGACCAAAAACAGCACGACCCCTGTGCCTCACCCTCCCTATTCACCTGATCTTGCCCTGAGTAATCCTTTCACCTTAGTCTTTCAACTAGTGGAACTACAGGCTTGCAATTACCATGCCTGGCTAATCTTTTTATTTACTGTAGAGATGAGGTCTCACCAAACTGCCCAGGCTGATCTTGAACCCCTGGGCTCAGGCAGTCCTCTCACCTCCGCCTCCCAAAGTGCTAGGATTAGACATGAGCTACCACACCCAACATGTTTCCATGTTTTTGGCCCTTATGAATAATGCTGCTGTGAATATTTTTGTACAAGTTTTTGTATGACATATCTTTTCACTTCTCTTGGGTAGCTAACTAGGAATAAAATTCTAGGTTTAACATTTGAGGAACTGCCAAACTGTTTTCCAAAGTAACTGTACCACTTTACATTCCCACTAGTAATTTATGAGGAATTGGATTTCTCTACATCCTCACCTATACTTACCTTATTTCTTTTTGATGATAGATTATAGCTATCCTAGTGGATGTGAAGTGGTTTTGATTTGCATTTCCCTAATGATTAATGATATTGAGCATATTTTCCTGTGCTTGTTGGCCATTTGTATGTCCGCTTTGGAGAAATACCTATCCAAGTCCTTGTGCACTTTAAAATGGATTTATATGGCTTTTATTTTTGAATTGTAAGATTTCTTTATATACTCTGGATATAAGTCCCTTAAGCAGTTTTAAGATTTGCAAATATTTTCTTCCATTCTGTGGGTTGTTTTTTTACCTTCTTGCTGCTTTCGTTTATAGCATAAGTTTTAAATTTGGATGAAGTCTGTCTTTTTGTGGTTGATAATGCTTTTGGTATTGTATCTAAGAAACCATTGCTTATCACAAGGTCATGAAGATTTACTCCTATATTTTCTTTGAAGTATTTTATTGTTTTATCTCTTACATTTGGATCTATGGTTCCTTTTGAGTTATTGTTTTATCTCTTACATTTGGATCTATGGTTCCTTTTGAGTTAACTTTTGTGTATGGTGTGAGGTAGGGGTACCTTCATTTTTTTTGTATGTGGCTATTGAGTTGTCCTAATACCATTTCTTCCTTTCCCATTGAGCTATTTGAATATCCTTGTCAAAATTAACTGATCATAAATGTAAGGATTCTGGACTCTTAGTTTCATTGATGTTTTGTTAAACATTTTTTGTACTAGTATTTTTTATTTTCAGAAGTGATTGCTTTTTCTGTGTAAAATGTTTTTCTTATTAGCTTTAAAAAAAAGTCAATAGGTAGTAGTAAGCGTCAAATTAGTTGCTAAAAACAAAAAAATTTTAAGTACTTTAGGCAGAAAACTTTGAGGTATTTAACATTTCAGCATTTTTTGGTAGCCCCCTTTTTTTTTTAACTTCAAAACTATGGCTCTAGGTCAAGTTCTTTTTTTAATATATTCATTTTTATATTGCTTATTTTTAAAAATGACTAAAATTTGGAAAATTGATAGAAAAAGTATTTATACGTTTACATTGGCATTAATGGGCAGAACATGAAAGTACTGAGAACAAATGTCCAGGAAGTGACAAAATTCAAGTGAGTGTGAAATTCATTGTGTAAAGAAAGATTGTATTCTTTTGTATCACTGCATTCTGAACATCAGTTGTTAAAACTTACAAGAGTAACATTTCTATTATAAGAAAGGGTTTGGCAGTAGTGGGATACTGCTGGGGTTGGGGGTGGGGTCACATAACATCAAAAAGCGTACCTGATCTGAAACCAGGCAATGTGGGGACCAAAGGGAGGCCCAAACTTTACCTGTGTGATGTCCACTTATATACCTAATCCTGAATTGTACTCCACATCTTTAAAATAAAATAAATAAATAAAAAAGTAACAGTTTTGAAAATAATGGTGACTCTGCTTTATGACTCTTCCAAATATATGTTGTCTGCACTCCTTTTCATCTTTCAGAGGCTTTGTGGCTGCTTGATTTTGTTTTCTTGGGGAGCAGAGATCACATATCGTTCTTAGAAAGGCATTATTGGCTAATTATCGTGTTCTTGTTTTATGTGCATGTTACTAAACAAGAATTTCCCCAGCTTGTACTTTGTGAAAATGCATCTTTATGTGTTTGTGCCAATGCTACAGTTTCCTGTTATATTAAATATATACAGTGAACATATTTTAGATATCAGACTGATTAATGACTTTATCTCTCATTTAGGAATCTTTGTCTGAAGTGGAAGAAAAATATAAGAAAGCCATGGTTTCCAATGCCCAGTTAGACAACGAGAAGAACAATTTGATCTATCAGGTAGACACACTCAAGGATGTTATTGAAGAACAGGAGGAACAGATGGCAGAATTTTATAGAGAAAATGAAGAAAAATCAAAGGTAATTGCTTATGTTGTATCATATTATTTTCTTGAGGCAGAAAATAAAAGTGCCATTTAATCAGCCTGTAATCCCAGCACTATGGGAGGCCTATGTGCATGGATTGCCTGAGTCTGCAAGTTCGAGACCAGCCGGGAAACTTGGCAAGACCCCATCTCTACAATGAATAAAAAATTATCTGGGCTTGGTAGCACGCACCTGTAGTTCCAGCTACTTGGAAGGCTGAGGTGGAAGGATCACCGGAAACCAGCAGGTCGATGCTAGGGTGGCCGTGAGCATGCCACTGTACCCCAGCCTGGGTGACATAGTGAGGCTCCAACTCGAAAAAAAAGTCTACCATTTAAAAATTGATGAGGTTAATGAACAATTGCAGTGTACTTTCTTGGGAGGAATGTTCTTTCAGTTGAAACTGAATGGGCTACAGAATTGACAGAATACCATAAGATATGAGGCCCCGATTGATTATTATTTATTTGTTTATTATTGATTGACTGATAGAGACAGTGTTTTTACTCTGTTGCCTAGGCTGGAGTACAGTGGCATGATTATGGCTCATTGCAATCCTGCTGCCTCAGCCTCCCAAGTAGCTGGGACTATAGGTGCTTACCACCACACCCAGCTAATTTTACTACTTTTTGTAGGGACGAGATCTTAGTTTGTTGTCCTGCTGGTCTTGAATTCCTGGCCCCAAATAATCTTCCCACCTCAGCCTCCCAAAGTTTTGGGATTACAGGTGTGAGCCACAGTGCCTGGCCTTCTTTTTTTTTTTTTTCTTAAAGAAAAGTTTATGTTCTCTTTTAGGTTTTTGAAGATAGAATACAACTCAAGTTTTATCTTTATTTTCTATCTCTTAATTGGGACAATTACAGTGAATTACTTATTTCTTCCTGTTATAAGTGGCTAGAACTTTCACAAAGCTCCAAAGATGCTCAGTAAGATGGTTCATTTTTTCTTCTAAGCGATTCAAGATAACCCATTTTTTATAAAATAATTGAATAGAAATCTGTAACCAGTTATTTTGAAACAGCAGTTTGGGGACATGGGTCAGAAATTGAAAGATGTTTTCTTTAGGGATTTATAAACTTCAGTGTTAAAATGTACAGATGAGATAAAAGTCACTGTTCAAGGTCCAGATTTGCTCTTTTACAACTGCAGAAAACAAATTGGGTTCTTTTAAAAGCTTATTGTTTTAGACGTTTTAAAGTATTGATATCAGTTCAAGAAGCAGACAAATGGATATACTGCCAGAAATGGGTCGCTACTACATTGCTAATATTAAAAATCCAGAAAATAACTTAGGAAACATGTTAATACATTGTTAGAAACACAATCTGAATTTGCACAGAATAAAGGGGAGAAGCTGTTTATAACCTCTAAGGGGCCAGTTTCTTTCTTTCTTTCTTCCTTTCTCTCTCTTCCTTCCTTCCTTCCTTCCTTACTTTCCTTACTTTCCTTTCTTACTTTCATGTTACAGTGAGTGAACTCCTGCAGACTTTATTTTGCATGAGTGGAGCTGATACCAGGTAGGGTTCTTTGACTCAACCCTAAAATAAATTTCAGAGCGGCCAGCAAAGTTTTAAAACAAAGTTTATTAGTGAGAAGAGAAGGAAAAAGGAAGATTCATGGCAGAAAGACCAGCCGTGGACAACTTTCTCAAAAAGAAAAACCATCCCACATGCTTTTCATATCTGTTTCTGGCTCCTTACTTCTAGCAAATTAGAGGATAATCTCATGCTAAGTATTTAATGGCCCGTACTAAAATGAATTATCTTTCTATCTTCTCAAATGTCCTTGAGCACTTTTAAAAATTAAGGAACCTCTATGATAAGCTACTTTAACCAACTTAATTTTTCCAGCCATCATTTTCAAAAATAACAAAAATAGTATGTGTGTTTTTTTTCTCCCCCCTCCCACACCCCCCCTTCAGTTTTTTTCTTAACCTTTTTCTTTCCAATTTTTTTTAAACATATTTTTTATTTTAAAATTGTGGGGTACAGTTAAGGGTTACGTATACAAATATGCATCGTTCAGGCACCCTTGCTGATAAGGGGTGTCCCCCCATCCCCAGACAGATATTGACTACTGTTAATCCCACCACCCTTCCCCTCCCTGTCCTCCCCCATGATTTCCCGCCACTGTCAATCCTTTTCTTATAGTATTACGATAGATGTTCAAGGTCCACTTATGAGTGAGAACATGTGATACTCAGATCTTTTTTTCTGTGAGAGATCACTCAGTATTATAGACTCTAGTTCCATCCATCTAGTTCTTTTTTATGGCTGCGTAGTATTCCATCATATATATGTACCACATTTTCCTAATCCCGTCCTCTTTTGATGGACAGCATGGTTGGTTCCAGTTTCTTGCTATTGTGAACAATGCTGTGATAAACATATGTGTGCAGGTATCTTTTTTATAGAGTGATTTGAGTTCTTCAGGTTATATTCCCAGGAGGGGGATTGCAGGGTCATATGGGAGGTCAATTTTTAGAATTTTTAGGAATCGCCACACTGCTTTCCACAGAGGTTGTACAGTTTACACTCCCACGAACAGTGTAGAAGTGTTCCCTTTTCACCACATCCTTTCCAGCATCTGTTATTTTTTGAGTTATTGATGATGGCCATTCTGACTGGAGTTAGGTGGTATCTCAGTGTAGTTTTAATTTGCATCTCCTTGATGATTAGTGAGGTTGAACATTTCTTCATGTGTTTGTTGGCCACTTGTATGTCTTCTTTTGAGAAGTGTCTGTTCATATCTTTTGCCCACTTTGTAATAGGGTTGTTTGTTTTTTTCTTTTCAGCACGTTTGAGTTCCTTATAGATCCAAGATGTTAGGCCTTTTAACATCTGTAAACTTAAAAAAAAAAAAATACCTTGGAAATCTGCTTCATGTACCATGATGCAGAAGACTTTGTGATAATAGCTTTTTCTAACATACTTTTACCCTGAGCTCTCTTATACTAAACAGATACTGCCTGGTGCAGTACAATGCTCATATTCAGAAATACACAAACAGATCAAGCACTCTTTGTATTTCATTATAGTAGTAGATAGAGTAGAGGAGGACCATTCAGTAACAACAGTAATTTTACAGTATTAATAAAAACTTTTAAAATGTCTTTTGTGTGTCCTTCTGGAATTGTAATAACTTTTTTGTTGTTGTTGCTGTTGTTGTTTTCTGTTTTTTTAGAAACAGACTGGAGTGCAGTGGTGTGATCATAGCTCACTGCAATCTTGACCTCCTGGGATTAAGTGATCTTCCCACCTCAGCTTCTCATGTGGCTGGGACACTGCACCCTAATTTTTAAATTTTTTGTAAAAAGGATTCTCACTATGTTGTCCAGGCTGATTTCCAGCTCCTGGCCTCAAGCAGTCTTCCTGCCTGGCTGGGCCAAAGTGCTGGGATTATAGGCATAAGGCACTGCACTCAGCCTATAACTATACTTTAAACATTGTCTCTATGCCTACATTAGGGACAATGTCTAACTGGGAATGTAAGTATATTATTCTCTTCTTAACAGCTTTTTATTTTAATCGGGAATTAGTTTAATATTTTTTAAAATGTTTTATTTTGGGTTTTAAATGTACACAAATGTAGACAGAGGAACATAATGAACCCTACTGTGACCCCATCACTTGCCCCAAACCACCATCAACCCACAGTCAATTTTGCCCTATCTGCTTCCCTCTTCTCCTATATTTGAAGCAAGTTCTGCGCATTTCATATTTTAATACAAATTTTGAATTTTGTTTTTGTTTTGAGTCAGAGTCTCACTCTGTGTCACTATGGTACAGTGGCATGTTCATGGCCACTGCAGCCTTGAACTGCTGGGTTCAAGTAATCCTTCCACCTCAGCCTTCCAAGTGGCTGGAAACACAGGTACACACCACCATACATGGCTGATTTTATTTTGATTTATTGTAGAGATGAGGTCTTGCCAAGTTGCCCAAACTGGTCTTGAACCCCTGGTCTCAGGCAGTCCTTTCACCCCTGCCTTCCAAAGTACTAGCATTATAGGTGTGAGCCACTGCTCCCCACCTTGATATGGTTTTCTAGACAATATGGTCTCTCTTTTTAAAAGCATATTCAAGAAATCATTTCACACTTGAAAAATTATCAGTAATTCATATTACATACCCAATCAGTAGCTTCAAAATATCGTAAATGAGTTTTCTTTATTATACTTAAAAAAAATCAGGATTCAGATAAATTTCACACCTGGGAACTAGTCAATATATCTTTTAAGTCTCTTTTCATTTATAGGTTCCCCTGGATCTTTTTTTCTTCTTTCACTTTATGTGTTGAAGAAACTGGGTTGCTTGTCTTAAGTTTCCCAACCTTACACATATTGCTGTTTTTGTCCCCAGGGTGTCTTTATCATACTCTTTTTCTCTGTATCTTCAGCTGTTTTGGAAAGTCTACTTCATAGGTGACACAGTTATCTTCTTTCAAGAGGCCATATGCATGGCTGTCTCTTTGTGATGCTATAGCTGGATGCTTAGGGGTTGCAGAATTGGGATATTCTGATTTTATCATTACTAATTTAATTATTTAATCCTGTTTTATTACTTCTAAACTGTTTTATTGAGATATAATTCACATACCATACAGTTCATCCACTTAAAGTGTACAATTCAAAGGAAGTGGTTTATTATTAGTACATGCACATATATGTGTAACTATTATCGTAGTCACTTTTAGATATTTTTCACCTCAAAAAGAAATCGAATATCCTTCAACTGCCATTTTTTATCCCCCAACCCCCTCAGCCCTAAGTAACCACTGATGTCCTTTCTGTCTCTATAGAGTTCCCTATTTTGGACTTGAATATGCATGGAGTTCCATAATGCATAACCTTTTGTACCTAGCTTCTTTCACTTAGCATAATGTTTTCAAGGTTCATCCATGTTGTATCATAGATCAGTACTTCATTTCTTTTTATGGCTTGTCAATATTTTACTGTATGGTTATGCTGCATTTTGTTTATTCATTTGTGTATT